ACCTCAACCTCGACGTGCCGGCGACCGATGGTCGGCGGATCGAGGTGGTGGCCAACGGCCTGCCTTTGTGGCAGGGGGCGCAAATCGCGGTTGACACCACCTTGGTTTGCCCCGTCCGACGCGACGGGCAAGCGCGACCGGGCGCGGATGCGCGGCCGGGTCTCGCTCTGGAGCAGGCTGCCCAGCGTAAGATGCGCACGTTTTGTTTTCTTATTAAAAGTTCTTGGTTATTATTCTTTGCTTTCATTATAATTCTATTTATTTTTACCAGCCCCTGATGCGGGCCGCCCCTTGTGAGAGGCGCATTTTGAGTGCGGCACCATCCACCTTGTATGGACGCGGGTGAACCGCGCGTGTTAGGGGGGGACCCCAGTCTGTGTGTGTGTGTGTGTGTGTGTGTGTAAACGCCTGAACATGGTGATCGCTGTGACTGACATTTCCATTTGCAGGGGGCAGTGACCCGCTCATAAGCTCACTGCCAATGAAGCTGCATATGAGTTGGGAGGATATCCAGGCTGATCACCTGGACGTACCTGCATGTAGAGTGGGATACCACACTGCTTGTGACATCATGTACCCTGAAGTCCCGAGGCAGGCAACCATGCTCCTTTTCATTCTTCCCTTCTTCTTGACTCCTCTTGAGTGTGTTGTGGGTCTGGTGGTTGGTACATGTTGGTACCGTGATCATTGCATCAGTTCATGCCAAGCCAAAGTGTGTACCAGTTCTGGTTTTTCCCGACATGGGGCCAGATCTCAGGGGCATGTGCCCGAGCCCGCGATAGCGGATGAGTGAATCACAACGTTGCAGACGCTTGTTCTCATCCATCGGGATCATCTGCAGTAGGATGACATGTGCCCACAGTGGGCTTCATCGGGATCATCGGTCACTGCACGGTCAAGGGCCGCGGTCAAGGGTTGATCAGTAGAGACAGCTTGCTGAACATGTGCTTTCCCTAGGAGTGCAGGTAGATCGTCTGTGCATGTGCAGGTAGGAGGACCAGGTAGGCACGCGCTCAAGGTATCCGGAATCCTTAAACAGACATGTCAGTGACTGTCCTCCCATGATGCTGTCTGACCCCCTGTTTTGTTGATTTCGCGTTTCTTGTTGCCTCCTGGTGTCGTTCCCGTTTTGTTGTCTAGGCCTCCTCTCTTGTTGCTGTTCAGGACTGGCTTGCTGACACCTGCTTGCTTCTTCGCGTCCTTTTCGCCCTTCGGGGCGTGTGTGTGTGTAAACGCCCGAACATGGTGATCGCTGTGACTGACATTTCCATTTGCAGGGGGCAGTGACCCGCTCATAAGCTCACTGCCAATGAAGCTGCTTATGAGTTGGGAGGATATCCAGGCTGATCACCTGGACGTACCTGCATGTAGAGTGGGATACCACACTGCTTGTGACATCATGTACCCTGAAGTCCCGAGGCAGGCAACCATGCTCCTTTTCATTCTTCCCTTCTTCTTGACTCCTCTTGAGTGTGTTGTGGGTCTGGTGGTTGGTACATGTTGGTACCGTGATCATTGCATCAGTTCATGCCAAGCCAAAGTGTGTGTGTGTGTGTGTGTGAGTGAATCACTAATTGAATATGCGAGAATACGAAATTCTTTAATCTGCAAACTAATAAAAGAGAAGATAAATAGAATGACCACAAAGTGAAGAAAATACGTAATATATTGTGATGAAATTTCTAAATTAATAAAAGCATTTCCTAAAGATATAGCAGCATTAAATAAAAGAAGTGTATTAGCAAAAGTTAATTCACAAGGATCTGGAAGATAGAAAGCTTCTCCAGGCCACATCCCTAAAGTTGGACAAGATAATAAATGAAAAGATGTCCAAAAGAAGGATACAAATAATAGAGCTTCAGAAACTAGAAAACCCCCAAAAAGAAGAAAAACAAATATTAATAAGACTTCATATTTTTTAGTGAATTCTCTTAATAAATAAAGATGATAAAATATAAGAAAATTATATGAGAAGTGAATTCCAGTCCAACAATAATTAAATATTAAATCCTGCCCTCGAGCCCGAAATAGGAAGCCGTTGGAGCGCTGCAGCGCAGCGTTTTGTCTGCGTCCTCGTCCGCTTCGTGCGCCCCCCCCCCCCAACAGTGTGCGCCGTTGGGTCCTCTGGCCGTTGGTGGAGCAGGTGTGGCGGCACGCGTTGGCAACAGGAAGGAGCGCGCCTGCAAAACACGTCGCGCGGTGCTATTTTTTATTTTCCCCGTCGATTTTGCACCTGCTTTTTGTATGCCCTAAGGGCCGCGAAGCGGCAAACGGCTCGGCCCAGCCACATCAGCAAGGTCGAGCACGCGGTCCAGCCACGAGGCCGACAGCTGGCTCGCGTGGAGCGGTGCGGGCTATGCCGATCCGAGGGCAGTGCTTGTGACGGCCTTTTGTACCGACACTGCTAGTATGGCCCACCAACGTTTGGCCCATGCCGACGATGCAGCGCTTCACATGGCCGGCAAAGTTCGTCGGGCACGGACGCACCAGATCCCGGAGCAGCTGCTGCGCATCGGCAGTCCAACGTCCTCCAACCTCGTTCCCCAACCCAACGAGCTGCCGCGGGCCGCCGGTGTTCAGCAAAGGCAGGCGTCTCGCTTGCGGCGCTCGGCGACGCGCAGGGCAGCTCCGTCGTGCGCAGCTGCGCAGGGCTGGGGCAAGCCTGTGCGCGACAGCGGCGAAACCAGTGTGTGGCGTCGCAGCAAAAAGCCCCGCCGAGAGGCGTTGCGCCGTAGATGACGAGGTCCAGGCTGCGCCGGTCGTCGGAGCGCACGTTGGGTGCTGTTGTGTGCGATTGTGTGCGCTAGCCACTGCTAAAAAAAACCTGTGCCGAGGCGTGGTCGCCATAAGCATCCACTTCGCCTCCACATCCGGGCGGGCCACAACGGTTGGCACACAGGGGCAATGGGAGGCGGAGGAGGCGAGTGCCAACAACATTGCTTGGGGCGAAGCATGCAGGCCGGCTCACTGGGTGTGGCAATCAGCCAGGCCCTGGCTTGTGGGCCAGCCTGCGACCGCAGGAGCGCGCCAGCGGAGGGCGACAGGGAAGGCAGCAGCGTGCAGGCATCAGCGAAGGCTGGCGAGCGTGCTTGTAAACTGTAAGCGCATCAGCCCACGCGGCCCAGTATGCGGCAGGCGCGGTGCGAATGGCAGAAGTCAAGCCAAGGCCTCCGAGGGCAGCCGGTAACTTAGTCAAGGTTCTTGCGCCGTCAAACACCATCAACATCTGCCGGCGACGCCGCCGAGGCAGAGTTGCAGAGTCTCCGAAATGGCATCGTCATGCGCCTGGGCATAAGAGACCGCGGCGTGTGGGGGGCTAGTCCGCAGTGCATGGTTTGCTCGCGGCGCGGCGCACATCGCGACGCGCACTGCATGTTGGGAAGCTGAGGCATGGCCGATTGGGGTGCCCAGCATTAAGAGCCCGCGCTCAGGGAGAGGCTTGTCTTGTCCCCACGCCAAACGTCCGCCCCAAGCGCACCAACACCTGGAGGGGGCGGGCCTCCATCGCAGCCGTACGCACGCGTCTTCCCGTTGTTGGAAGCAATGCCGCGTTCGGCTTGAACGACCTTGACTACTGTGTCGCGGGCAGCTTCTAGTCACTCGTGCGTAGTGAAGACGTACAAATCGTTAAGGAAGGCAGGCTGTCGGAGGGGTCGAGGGCGCTGGCTGCTGTCCCAGTGCGTAAAGCGCTGGGGCAAGCGGGTCGCCTTGTTCACACCCTTCTCCTTGAGTGATGTTGCGGCGATGGCTTTGAGCATCCCACCAACAGTGTCATTATCCCATCTTGTCAAAGGATGGCCCGGGCTACGAGCAGATTGTTTTGTTTTGCGCAATTGCGATGCCAGTCGATGTCAGGCCAAATCCAAAGGATCCTCGCCCAATTGAAACCTGAGACGCCTAGCCACGTTGTTGCATTGCTGGCCGTTTTGCCCATGGCTCACCGGGCGAAGTTCGGAAGCCGCCTGCGCCCGCAATTTCATCCACATGCAGCGTCGATGGGGATTCGCCGCTTCTTAGCGACGAGCTGGTCGGCTACATTCTTGTGTTTGCCCATTGCCAGCAGCCTCCCTGTAAGCGGGAAGAGCTTTGTTCCTCCGAGCATGCTGCACTTAGCCCGCCTGATTTGTGGGAAAAATGGTGGATCGGATCAGCATGACTTTTCGGACACGGGGGGCGCTACCACGCTTCTTCCCTCGGACAAGTTATTTCACTCTCCGTTTTGCTCCTGCCTGCCACATCCAATCGGCGCGTCCTACAGCCAAAGCCTGGCCGCTCTTGGCTTGCACCACTCCCTCGCCCGTCACGCCAGCATGCCCTGGTGCAACATGCGTAGTGGCACCTGCGTGGATGCAACCAAATTTGATGCCCCAACTTCAAAGTGCCACAATCAAGCTTGTGAGGCGGGGCATTCTTGTTGATATGCGCTATGACCGCCCAGCGCGTTTTCAAGACGTTCTTTCTCGCGGCAAGCATTTGGGTTCGGGTTTAGGTTTGGGTGCTTAAGTTGGGATTATAACCCCCTCCTTGATCTACAAATGTTATGTGGGTTGGTGGCCTCTTTACGTAACGCTTCTGTTTTGTAGGGGGGAACTTGCTACGCCCAAACAAAACCAAGCCAGGACGTGTGGGGGGGTCGCCTGAGTCAGAAACGATCCCGCTGATGAGACAGATTGGTCCGGAAACGACCGTGAGTCACGTTCAGACTGAAAAATGTTTCACTACATGCGACATGGAGCTTGACAATCCTGGTGTGCCCGTTCCGTGCGTGACTGCTTGCCGATGCTGGCAGCGGTAAGTTCGGCTTCAAAGCAGAGATTGTGAGGCAGTATGTTAAACAAATCAGCGTCAATGGCCGTCAATGGCTATCTGTGCAACAAAATATTTCAAGTCCACGGATGATGATGGTAAAGCATGCTTACGGTTGTAGCAGGCTGGACTTCGTCGCTTGGTCGTTGGAATGCCTTCGTAAGCTTTCGTCCTTTTGCCATGGTGGCAGTCCCATGGAGCAGAGCTGGGAGCCATTTGACCAGCTTTCAGATCGTTGGGGTGGGACGCCAAAGCGAGAAATGCTATCGTTGTTTGTTGTTGTCGGAGAGTGTCACCTCCAAGCAAAGCGCGCGTGCGAGTGCATCCAAGGTACAGGCAGGTCCAGATTCACAAGCATGAGCGCGGGACCCATAAGATATTTTTCACTGGCAAGGCAGCTGAGGCCGGAGTACGTGCAAAGGGTTTTGGTGCCAAACACACCAAGTCCAACAGCTTCCTTTGCCGATTCAAGTTGCAACTGCGTGGAGTGTGGTGTATATGCTGGTGGTTTGAATGAAGATACGTCTGTGATGCGTTGCTGTTCTGGCTGATCTGATGCAGGCAGCCTCGCGCCGCTTCGTCTGTTGCTCCAAGGGCCCGGGCTTTTCAACGCCCGCGGGGCAGGAGTCTCGGTGCTTTTGCGCGTTGTTACACGTGGTTAATTAGCGTGATTGTTTTTGTTTCAGGCACCTTGCGGGAATTGTTTTTTGGAGGAAATGGACCTCCCTGGCTGTAGGCAATGTGTTGTGTGTCCAGGACTTTCACTGGATCGTGGCTGCAGAGCCAGGCTGGAAATCTTGTGTTCCTTGTGTGTGACAAGTGTTGCGGGCGAGAGCTGGCCGCTTTCAGCCTTGCGCTTAGGCGAGTGGGATATTCCTTTGCCTAGTGTGCCCTGTCGTATTGAGCGGCAAGTACATGAGACTAAATTTGGCGGTCGAATCGCCCTCGCAATTTTTCAGGACAAACTGGGGTGATTGTCGCATCCATCCAGACGCAGTTTTGGCTCTTCGATTGCGATTGCGCTTTTCTGACCCATGGCGGCTTGGCATTAATTCCAGCATATTCCAGCCGTAGCCTTCAGCCTATAGTTCATCTTGCAGTGGCGGAAAAGAGGATGTCCAGCTTGAGCTTTGTGCGAGCGTGAGGCGAGCTGTTTGTTTGTCCCTCTCGGCGCAAGAGATTACTCATTTACCATCTTGCGAAATTTCCCCACAAGCATGATCAAGTATATCGAGTTGCTGATGATGAGGATGGTTGGAGGCATCAGATCAAACGCTTCTGTCCTTGCCAGCCGGCGCTGCGGAGTTTCTCGCAGTGAGTTCCTTGATTTGAGAGTGTAGCCATCATATCGTTAAAGTCGACATACAACAGCCCGAGCCCTCCAGCGCTTGAAGTTATAATTGTCGGTTTGTGCTAAATGAGGCTGCACGTTCCTGATCATTCATTCTTCGGCGATTCGAGCCACTAGCTACTGTATCCTCCTGGATCACCCATCAAGTGATGAGCTTCGTGCGGTGCGCATTGTCAAGTTCAGGGTTTTTGAGGAGTGCTGGAGTTGTGTACCCCTTGGAATGAGCACGTACTGGGTGGTAGTGGTCGCAACTATAGTAGTTGATGAAACGTTTGGGCGTGGCGTGAAGAGAATCAACTTCGAGATTGGGGAAGGGAGCCAGCAAGTGGGTTTATTTTGCCCTGCAACCTGCAAGAATCGAGCCTTTGCAAGGCTTTTCCTTCGAAAATGACTTGGCCGATGTCGATGCTCGACGAGACCATCTTAGATTATCCAGCCATGTCGCAAACAAGCCGCTAAACCCGCCAGTTGCTTCAGTAATCTGAGTCCGTCTGATGTTGCAATGTTACATGCACCAGTTCTTGTGTTTCCAAAACAAACTAAAGCTTGTTTTCAGGCTGCTGTGAACCAGACGGTGGTATGAACTATTCACATGTAGTGATGGAAATGGTTACTTTCTTCAATGAAGAGTGGCTGCAACGCGGGCCACCAATTCCCACATAGTGCCACATGATGACGAACCTGCCCCAACACCATCGCAACCACTATCAGCAGCTTGTTTTTTGTTTCGTGGGTGACTTGGCACATGTTTCAATCCCGAGGCCTTAGACGCCTTCGTGCCGGAGGTTTCGGAGTTGCCAGCATGTCTCCAGGACCTTTTCGGTTCCTGAAATAGTCTAGGACGTGGCACTCCTGCCTGTGTGCTATTCCGGGGTCGGGATTGAAAGCCAAGGACATGTGGCGAGGGCATTTGGGAGACCACGCCCGGTATAGCACGTGTATAGATGAATGGCCAGTTGCCTTTAGAGCGTGGGTTAGACTGGAATGAGTTCTCAAACAGGATGGCTATCACAAGTTCTACCAGGCATACAGCTCCTTGAACGCAGTGGCTCCAGCAGACATTGCTTACTACTCTGCCACGTGTGGGCGTAGTGTTCCCTTTTTCTGACTTTCTATCACTGCTAGGCCAGGTTACCTTCACCGCTGCTGACAGCGAGATTTGCAATGCCCAAACATGCATTTCGACTGGCGCCAGATCATGTTGCAGCATTCCTGAGATGCCATCGATGGCTACCAACTGTCGCATGATGCGCAAGGAATCTCGGTTTGTTCTGGCGATATCTTTTGCCTCCACCACATGTCATGCGCGACTGAAGCTTAGAGACGATAAGGTCTGCAATTGTCTGCTGGGTTCTTATCAGCCAAGGCTTAGCTTGTGAGATCACCGTGCCGTTGTGAATGCAGACCGCATGAGAGCTTTCAGCAATTGCAAGACAACGGCGTATCATGCCGTGAGCAAAACAATCTTGCTTTCTTTTCCTGTTGAAGGCAGCTGCAACCACAAACATGAAATACTGCGTATTGCTTCTGGGTTGGTAGAAAAGCAGATGCACCATGATACGCCCCTCAAACACGCCGAGGTAGCTACACGACCTCAGCGCTCACATATGGAGAGAGTCATTTTGTGCCTGTCCATCGCCTTCTGACATTGCTGAAGGCACGTGTTCTTGCATGGGCTCGATTCAGCATGTTGGGTGAGGGAAGTGGCGGCGCCGACAGGTTCTCTCTCCGGCCTTGTGCTGGCCGCCTTAGCGCAACCCTCATCGCCCCTAGCATCCCCTAATTCCCCTAGCGCCCTCATTTCTTCCCTCGAGCGAGTCATTGTCCTGGCTTGTCTGGACCGAAGTCATGGTAGCTTGGAGTGGCGTGCGGGCTGGCCTTAGGCCCACTCGTGCACAACCCTCCACCGTGTCCTTGGCAGCTCTACCGCCGGGGGGCAATGGAGACAAGCATTTTGCATCTATTCCTGTCGAAAGCGCAAGAGGTGGAGACATCCAGGGGCTCCGTGAAGACCTGTCACGGAGGCAAGGTGCGGTGCAGGACGAGGGGACAGACAAAGAGAGCCACGGGGTGCTGTCGCACATTGGCGCACTGTAGATCCATTGAAGGCTGCGGCTGCTGCCAAGGCCAGAGGTGTGTCTCTCATGCGGCAGCCAGGTCGGAGTTCTGTGGCCGACATGGTTCAACAGAACTCACGAGCGGGTTGTGCAGCGAAGCAGCGAAAACAGGGGCCCAAGTTTAAGCAAGAAATTGCTTGACACGTTTGTTCACGGCAGGTTGCAGCACCAAAAGCACGACTTTGGATTTTGTACCGGTGCAAGTGGAATTTTACAGGTCCTCGCAGTTTCCTAGATGTACCCCATTCCCCCCCCCCCCCCCCCCCCCCCCCCCCGTGGCGTTCACATCAGACTCGAGCCGGAAGGTGACCGCTGGGGACATGCTCGTTGACCTGGGAAGCGGCTGCTCGGACACCATGGTTGCGGCACCATGGCACATCTCCACTCCTGTTCGACCCAGCTTTCAAGCCAGAGTGTGTTTCTCGCAAGTCTCGCGACTTTCCCGAGTCTCGCAAGTAGGCTTGGCAAAATGGATTATGGGTCAAGCCAGTCAGGACAGTCAAGACAGTCAAGGCACGGTCGTGCAAGGAATATGTTCCCGTTGTCTCAGTGGCACGCGCTGCAAGATTTGGCATCTGTCCTGTTCCAAGTTTTGGGAGCGGATCTTTGGCATGCGAGTTGATGACGATGGGGTGAGATGATCATACCTGAGCTCAACTCCTACAGTGGGAGAAAATACCCAAGCTCATCCCGTGGGTTCTTGTAGATGCTTGATACACGTGACTTCTGCACTTCCGCATTTTGCATTTATCCAATGGTCAAGCTGTTTGGTCGAGGAACCGGTCGACTCGTTGCTGCCGCTGCGCTGGCGTTTCCTTCCTTGCGCCTTGTCTGCAAGAAACAGCCCGAGCATGTCGTTCAGACAAAGCTTGGAAGCTGTACATGCTGCAGTGCTCTTACCTTCGTACAAGTGCCATTGTTGCTGCGCTCACAGGAGTGCTGACGCAGTTTATAAGTCTGAGCCTTCATGGTGCCCTCTCCCTTCACACGCTGCCCGTCGATCGTTTGCACCTTTCTGCCAGAGCACAGTGCACAGGCCGTTCAATTAATGTTGCACCCGCTTTACTACCGTTTGCCGCTATCAGGCGTTTTTTCCGAAAACAAATATAGAGGTCCCCTCTATTGAGAAAGGTTACCCGCAATTAGGCGAAGTTCGTGGCCCGGGGATGAAGGGCGGGGGGCCAAGAACAGAACCAAAAATAGTTTAGAATGCTAAGCTCCGGCATTTTCTGGTGTCCGGCTTTATTCAAAAGGAATCATTCCGAAACACGCCCCTAAACAATTAGCAAGGGAGTAGCCCACCTCATTCGCTTTAGTCAATTGTTTCGGTTACCCACATCATAAGCTTCGACCCTCAAGCTTCAAGGCTTCCCCGGCTTCCCTCAACCCGCCCTACCCCCAGACCCATCTTCAGAGGACCCGCCAAAATTGTTTGGGGTCCTACGCCTCCACCCCAATGATGTGAAAGAAGTTTGGAGCTTCAAGACTGCAGGCGCTGTCGTGGCATTGAGCTGCTTCCGGCCCTCCACACTGCGGCCGTCAACGTCGCCGCACAACTCCAGGTTCACTGGGGGATGGTGGGAGACATTGGGGGGGGCCTTCAGCTCTCGATGTCGCGCGAGGTTTCTGGACTGGAGCTGGTGCAGGGAGACATTTTGGAGGAGGAGACCGTTGGTGTGCTGTAGATCGCTAAAGTGTGTTAAGACGCATTCCTCGCCCTCAGTCTTTGGCCTTTAGGTTGTCCTAGTGACGCATAGAGGAATCCATGAAAATGTAGGGAAAGCAGAGGGTTTCCCATGACAAGAAATAGAATGGAATACGGGCGAAAAAGGTTTGCCACTAACACATAGAGAACTTAGAGGAAGAGGTTTACCTACTAACCATAAAGAATTTAGAGGCTTTGGGGTTGTATAAAGATATACACAGAAAATGGACATTATTCAGGAACACAAATTACGCGAGGTAGATGTTCCCCATGGACATGTCAAGGAAACCCACGTTTCCACTGCCAGCCGGCTTTCTCTTTTTCCATAAAGAGAATAGTGTTTTCCTATCAAAGTTGCAGAAAAGACAGGGTTTTCCTTCTCAACACCAAAGTAGCGTTTTTCTGTTGATTTTCTTACTTGTCCACACCCCACCGCCCCCCTCCCCGCAACCAAAAAAAACACGAACCCCACTGCACCCACGGCAAGAAACAAAAACACTCCCCCCCCCCAGACCCATCTTAGCAGAACAAAAAGGCCGCCCGCAGTCGCACTACGAAGAACAACACGCCCCCGCACCAGCAGCAAAACAAGAACGTGCCACCAAAAAACACACGCAGCAGAAACACATTGTTACCGCTAAGCCCTAACCTTAGACACTGCCAGCCCAAGAAATTCAGGGCCTTAAGACCCTCAGCCCGACCCCTTGGGTAGATTCCGAAGTATTAGGACAACAGTTTCATCGTCGGCGTTTGGACATTCCCAAAACCTCGTGCATCTGGAGGACTGGTCTGCGGCCACAGTTGTATTCGCCATGTCCCTTTGCTTCCCGGATGACATGATGAAGGCAGGGGGTTGAAGGCAGGGGCTTGAAGGAGACATGAGATGCGTTCGGCTCGCCGACCAGGGACGCAAAAGGCGATGCTAGGCATGCCTCGAACTCCATTTCGACAAACACATGTTTACTGGCTTGGTTTTGGGGTGATGTTTTTCATGTGCGGGCATCTGCTGGTCCTTTCTTTGCCAGACCCAAGCTCCACGAGCCTCTTAGGACATTTTGTGTCACGGGGGGCTGAAGAGGGCAGACGTGACCATCCATACGTAGATAATGAAACTTATGAGCCTGCATCAAAGTTGCAGTACGCAGTGCATTAGCAGGCTTTTGGGCTTGCAGCGCTTGGACTTGCAGGCTTTAGGCTCCTTCCAACCCGGTGTTGTTTATCCGTGTACATGGTGCGAGTGTTCGTTGAACCTTGGCCCCTGAGGCCTTGGAAGCCAAGTTCGCCTTGCTGCGTCCAGGGAGCCGTGTGGTGCTGATGCGTTGTCCATGCACTTGGGAATCTTTTTTTGTGATTCGGCCGTGGACCATGATGTGTCCGCCCGAGCCAATGTTCACTTGCCATTCACAAAAGCTCCCCTTTGTCGGCTATTTCAGGGGCAGGTCTGCAACTGTTCAAAAATCGAATGGGCGGCCTTGGTTGAACGGATTCCGTGTCAGAGAATTCTTGACGGCTCAGAAAAAACTTCGCCTCAAGTGAAGAAATATTTATCTTGCTCAGGAACTGCTTTTTGGAGTCGGATTTGTCGGGTCTGGAGCCGCTGCGGCTGGGAGCGCAGGACAGGAATTCGTGAGTCAAGTAGTCTGTCAATAGCGATGTTAAGACTTGGGCCACTGGTCTGCGATTCTGGTGTGTGTTTTGCAACCTGTGCGTGCTATACGGCCTCAACCAAGAAAATTGAGAGGCTAGTTTAGATCATGCCGCCAGAAATCTCTGCATATCACTGACCACTCATGCGCCTCAAGAGCGCCATGACACTGCAGGAGCCTGCCCACGCGGTGCGCGTTGAGTTGCTCAGCGGCTGTCGGACTTAGGTGCTTTGTTTTTTCAAGTTCAGGCTATTTGCGGGTTGGTTGACGCATTGCGCCCTCAGTGTTACTGGATTTCCCGTTTCGCACGGCGGGCTGTCGAGCTGCCTTCGATGTTGACTGGAAGCTCAGGATGTCCTTTGGGGAGACTCCGCTGTATGCGTTTGAGCGGGTCGACCAAAGGCGGGAGAACTTTGGATTGAATATGCAGGTGAGGGCAGTGAAGTTCTCATCCCAGGCTTGGGTTCCCACTTGTCGTTCGGGGTCCACTGGAGTCGCAGCAGTCCCAACTTCGGGAGCAACTCCCTGTAGCTCCCCAGAGCTGCTGTGGGTTGTGGCCGCCATAGCTTGCGGGCTCCAGTGCCACAGTGCGCTCGTCTTTCATTCATTTCGCGACTTGTTGGACAAAGCAAGTAGGAAGTTCTTGGCAAGGGGCAGGGAGGATGTTTTTTGTTTGGTTTCTGTTATTCCGCAAATGCTTTGACCGAGGCCGGCACCTTTTGTGGATCTGATGGCCCTAGACTAAACGGGGTTGGCGGGTCCACTGCCTGCGCCATTGTCCAAGCGGCCCAAAGGCGGCCGAATGAGCTTATGATGCCGATGTGCGATCGGACAAAACATGCCGGTTCGCACTGCTCGCTCCTTGCACAGCAGGAGTCCCCTTAACATCCCGTTCGGATGATTGAATACATGTTACCTCAGCGTCACGCTCAAGTCAAGGGTTGTACGGCTTCGAGGCGGAACCTCTCGCATCAATTCAACTTCGCGACTCGCAGCTTTGGTGTCCTAGGTGGACTACAGCTGCAATCACATGGTTCGGCTTTTAGCTCGCGAGCAGTGGTGGGCTGCCCGGCCCGAGCTGAGGACTGCACGAGGTGCAAGGGAAAAATGCAAACAACTCCTGGGGCCCCAGGGGGCTTGCGCCTTCTGTTTGTGGATTCTTGTGGGTTCTTGTCTGGGCACTTGGCGTTCTTGGCACGGCTCTGCTTGAGTCTGAAGCTCCCCCCAGCCCCGTCGCTGCCCAAGTGCCTGCAGATGCAAGAAGGTGCAGGAAAAAGGAGGTGGGCTCGGCAGGCTTGTGCAAATCTCCACACCGCCAGGATTTGCTTGTAGACAGCTGCCAATGCGAAACTCGGGATTGCAGAAGAAGGTCCACGAGCTTCGGAGTATGTTACCTGCACGAAGCTGCTTTCATGGTGATGCATCCGCTACGCCGCTGCGACTGGGCACTTGCCTACTCGATGTTATTTGATTTTGCATCTTGGCATTGGCCTTGATCGGCTCGCGGAGGGACATGGTATCACATTCCAGCAAATTCCCCTTCCAGCAAAATTCCCCTTCCTCAGACGAATGTGGGCATGTTGCAGCGATGCCCAACAAGCACAACGTCTACGATTCAAGAATCAGAAAAGTCCTGGCCAGAAACTTTCCCAACCAAACCTCACACAGCCATGGTCGACACGCGCGGCACCATGGCTGCGAGCTCAGATGAAAGAGTTCCGAGCTTTGCCACAGTTCAGTTCTGACGCATAGACTTCTGTTGGGCAGGTCGCACAGGTGACAGCAGGACCGCAGGAGCACATTGCAATACGTATGCTGCCACTGATGTGTGCGAGGACTCGCTGCCCGGGCAACGTGCGAAGCTCTTAGCCGTGTAGGAGGTTTGCATGTTTGATCGTGAGTGGAAGCTTCTTTGCCTGACTGCTGGGCCGCTGCTTTCAAGGCAAAACCGAATGCAACATAACCGCCATGTCCAGACAAGGCATGTTGTATCATTTCAGCTCAAGATGCTGCTCAAGATGATGACATTCAAGGCAACTGTAGCACAGCTGGGGTTTGTTTTGCTGCGATCCGGTTCCGCTGCGTTCCGCTTGCTAATGGAACTTGGGCTGAAGCAACAATTGCCGCACTGGCTGGCTGCGCCGCCCCGATCAGTGGAGTACCAACCGAATGTTCGTGCACCCAGTGCGTCATGCACGCGCACCAGATGCTTGACATGGCAATGGTGGGTCCTGGTGGGTGTCGTGTTCAGGATGTAGTTAATGGACACGTGATCCGTAGTAGGCCATAGTAGAACCGTTGTGGCTGTCAATGGAAGGTGCTGGCAGAACACTCATGGTATCAGCGGCCATTGGACTTCAGAGATTGTTCGTCCGGCGAGTTGCGTGTGCGAAGCGCGTGCTGGTTGTAAACACGGCCAACAAGAGCCATGAGAACACACTGCAGCAAGTGGACCCTGAGTTGGCGGATATGCTATGTCGAGAGCGCGAGCGACAAGTGTCAAGCATCAACTTGATTGCATCCGAAAATTTTGCGTCGGAGCATGTTTTCCAAGTTCTGGGGTCCGAGCTCAACAACAAGTACTCTGAAGGGCTTCCTGGGGCTCGCTACTATGGCGGGAATGCTGTCGTTGATGAGGTGGAACAGCTTTGCAAGGCACGGGCTCTGGCAGCTTTCCGCCTGTCTGAGGAGGAGTGGGCTGTCAACGTGCAACCATATTCTGGATCACCTGCGAATTTTGCTGTTTACACAGCATTGCTTAGTCCCCATGACCGAATAATGGGTTTAAGTCTTGCTGCCGGTGGCCACCTCACACATGGGCACTACACAGCTCAAAGAAAAGTTTCTGCAACGTCCGTGTATTTCGAGTCCATGCCGTACTCGGTCGACAAAAACACAGGTCTCATTGACTATGTGAACTTGCGGAAGCAAGCCTTAATTTTTCGGCCGCAGCTGATTATCGCGGGGGCATCTGCGTATCCCCGGCAAATCGACTGGGGCTCTTTCCGGCAAATATGTGATGAGGTCGGTGCCTACCTTATGGTCGACATGGCACACATCAGCGGCTTGATAGCTTCTGAACAGCACCCTTCTCCGTTTTCGCATGCAGACGTCGTTACAACCACAACGCACAAGAGCTTGCGGGGACCCCGTGGTGGCATGATCTTTTCCCGCAAACATCTGGAGAGACAAATAAATAATGACACTTGGAGAGCACATTGCAGGTGTTCATGGGATTCTTGGTGAACCTACGCGTTTTTAAGATCATGATATGTTGTATTATAAGAGATTGCGTTAGCTTACTTTATCTTGTGTTGTATGTTTTGTCCGAGGCAGTGTTCCCTGCTTTGCAAGGAGGCCCTCACAATGCCACAATCGGGGCTCTAGCTTTTCAGCTGAAGCAGGCAGCTGATGGGCAGCGAGGGCGCTTGCTTATGTTGTTGCTTTGAGGGCGAGATGCGCTGGTGTTTACTGTTTTTCTTGAGAGTATGGTTTGTGATGCAGGTGACGAGCCCTGATTTCAAGAAGTATTGTGAACATGTCGTGGCGAATTGCAGAGCTCTGGCCGCGTACTTGAGCGGCCGCGAGTGTTCTCTGGTTAGTGGCGGGACCGACAACCACCTCTTGTTATGGGATGTCAAGAGTGAGGGCTTGTCTGGAGCGAAGATCGAGAAAGTCTGTGAGATGGCTTCCATCATCGTGTGCCTAGGTTGCGCGAATTAGAATAAATCAGACCTTGCTGTGTTGGCAGTCCTGTCCTCCCGTGCGAAATGCGAAGCAGAATGACCGAGGAACAGGAATGCCATTCCGACGGACGTTTCTCCGGTTTCACCTGGTGGCGTACGCCTCGGCACATGCGCGATGACAACCAGAGGTGCAGATGAAGGGGACTTTGAACGTATTGGGAGCTTCCTGCTCCGAGCGCGCGACATTGCCAGACAAGTGCAGTCCCGGTACCACACCCAGGAATTGCGGGGCGCCATTTGTAGATTTTGTTGCGATCAGATGCGCCACAGAAAAGTGTTCTTTCCCAGGTCTGGAAACAAGCTCGCCGATTTCTGCGCATGCTTATCAGAGACTTGGCTAGCGACTTCATGCGGTTAATCTTGTAAGCGAGACATCCGATGGACACCGTGAGCCGGAAAGCCGGTCATTTAAACTCTTTAGAATCTACTGCTTGTTCTTCTGGCTCTTGAGCCATGCTCAGCCTTGGCCTCCAAGTCCGTCGCTTCCACTGCCCTGCACGGCAGCGGATCTTTTCTACGGAAATCTGGCAATGCCAATTCTGCGTAGATAAGCTTCTGGAAATGCGGGTGCGAGGGTTGTGTCGCGGCAACGTCCATCACGGACACTTTGCAAGTGTCAATGTCGCGTGGAATACCGTGGAATACTTCACATCTTTCCGTGCGCAGGCGCTCAGTTTCCTCGTTGCATCTAGAAAATGTCGTCGAGGTTTAACACACGCAAGGGCCAGACGCTCCTGGACCAGCTGCCGCTTTCCGACGTGAAATGCGGAGATTCTCAATTTCCTGGAACAAGGCATCCAACTTCTTGTTGACTTGAGAAGTTGTTCTTTCAATATTTTTTGTCGTAGGGCCCGCTGGAAAGACTCCCATGCTGTTTTTGGTTTTCCAACTTAGTGGGCAAATTCGCCCATAGTCCAAGAGAGCACAAAAAACCGAAACACAAGTCGCTTAGCGAAAGACAGACTGGAAACCGCACTCCCGCGGTCCTGTTTCGAGGTCCGCCTTAAAACTGAGCCTTGAGTTCAGGCAGTTTGTGGGATAGGACGCACAAGAGACAGGACAGAGAGAGAGAGAGAGAGGGAAGCAGAAGAAGGGAGAGGGAAGAACAAGAAGCATAAGAAGATGAAGGGGAGGAAGGAGGAGAGCCAAATGGCACATGCCACTATCTCTTAGTCTTGATGTTGTGACAAGGACCCCGATCTGCCCGAGAAAGTTGCCTTGCCGCATTAGGTGCCTGATGAGCAGATGCGTGAATACACAGGACCTTGATGGACACGCAACTTAGGAAGCACTTTCGGAGCTCCGCGCCGAAGTGGAAGGATGGTCTTCGACACTCAGTTTCCCAACTTGATGCTGGCAGCCCATGAGACGCTCGCACGGAGTTGAAGTGGGAACCACAAGAGGGTGGAGCTAGCGTTGGTCCCGCAGCCCTGTCACAAGACATGGGCCGAGGAGACTTCGTCGGTGAAGGGTGTAACCTAGCTTAGCCAGTGTAGCCAGCGTGGAGCTAACAGAGCTGTCGCAAGAACCATTCCGACATTCCGCAAGTGGAGACTGAAAAGGGCACTTGTGCCATCTTGATCGTGTCACCTCTGCGGTTGCATCACCATTTTTGCCTGTTGTTTTTTTTTTGACTTCGGGTTTGGAGCTTCGACTGTGGCTCGAGAGCTGTCGCTATCGTCATTGTACCCATCCGTCGACAATACGTCCGCACCTGGATTGCATTGTGCCAACACTTCGGCAAGCCATTGTTTGGGCATGTTTATGCATGTTTTGGCAATCCGCTTCCGAGGAATGGATGCAGGAGCGGCCCAGTATTTACAAGAGAATGTCGGAGGCATTTTAGCAAAGGCACTTGCAGAGATGGCGGTCGTGCAGCCGAAGGCAGCTTTAGCCACCTGAGCTGTCACAAGATGCTGCCTATGTCATCTATGACACTGCACGGAGCACGTCCATGTCCTTGCACATGCGCAGCCCTCACGACTTCTTTCCGTGCCGCAGCAATTAGCAGCTCAAAAGTCTTCCAAGATGTAGAGCGAAAGTTTGCCCAAGAGGACGTTGTAGCCGCCCTCTCGTGGCCGTGAACGTGCCAGGGCATTCTACCATGGACTCGCTTGCAAATGGCAAAGTCGGCTTCATCACTGAGGTCGTGTCTTGCCGAATGAGGTGAAAGCATTGCTGTTGTGAACTTCGCCCATTTTAGCCTTTGTTTCCTGTGGAAGCAGCTGAGGAAGCAGAGGAAGCGCCAGAAGCAGATGCCTCTGCTGCTTTGGTGCAGATGGACGAGACTCCCGAGGCTTTGCCAGCACCTTCGGTCGCCTCTCATCACGGAGTCTCGCGGGTGCCTTGCTAAATATCTTGCCATCCTGCATCTTTGAGCCTTTAATCTGCGAGCCATTTTTTGAGCGAAACGCTTCCAGGTTGCGCTCCCGTCCATCAACGTTTACAATGTGGAGTATGCCGAGCTTCCTGCTGAATGTCATGGCGGCCTCTCAGCTCCTGCGCCACTGCCACCGTCCATCCCCATGGACAAGATCATGAGTAACATCGAGACTTGTCTCATCCTGTGGTCTTAGCGACATGGAGCTATGTGTAGGTGTAAGCTTGTAGCTGCCGGTAGGAGGGCCACCATGCTCGCACAGAGCATGTACCTAGCCGCCGTAATTCATGGGTTCCTCCGCCGACTTAGCATCCAAGTTGCGACATCTTGTCGCCAAAGGTGCCGCACGCTGTGGGGTTTGTTTAAGTCTCTTTCTTCACTTCTGTTAACGTGGATTGACCAACCTCGCTGACCTGGTAGCAACATCCATGTTTGAGCATTTTGTCATGGCCAAGTCACTACATGCCTTTTTTGTGTTTCTACGACGACTAGGCTTACGACGATGACTATTGCTACGACTAGGGCACATGTGATTTTTGCAGGGTGCTTCGTTTCGCTGTTGAATGCACTTACAAAATGTTGGAGGGATCTGTCCGGGCAGCCCCTGCCTTAGCTGCAAAGAGATCTTTAGGCCAAAGCTTAAGCCGACACCCCTTGCGCCGAAAACCCTGAATGCCCCCCAAATTTGAGTGCTAAACTCGTGAAAAGCAGCCCTCTTGAACTTACTGCAACCTCTCGCAAACCCCGAAGCCTTAAAGGGATGCTGGGCATAAGAAGCCCTCAGCCCTCAACCAAAACCCGAAAGCCCCCCCGCATAAAACGGATGTTGGGCAGAGAAGCCCTAAACTCTTCAATCTCAGGCCGTATGAAAGTCGTGTTGGATCAGCACAAAAACCAAGCTCATGAAGTCTCGTCTTCCGTCTTCTTTTTGCAATTTGGTCGTATTGGAGCGCAAGCGAGGGGGAGTTACGTCGTGAGTTATATTCAGCAAATTCCAATATTGGATCTGTATTGAATCATCAGTCATGTCAACGCGAGTTCTGCTATGACAACATTCACGTGTAGTCTATGTGTCTTTCGATTGACATTTGTTACCGAAACTTTTCTTTGCTTGTACATGCAAACGTCATGAGTGAAAACGCCGAAGCAATATTCAAATTGATTCCATGCCGTACAGGCACATCAAATGTCTTGGAAACCAAAGCGCCGAGGCAAAAATTGATTTGTAGGGGCCTACGGCCATAATGACGACGGCGCTGACGATTACTGCTACCATCGCATTCGATTCACGCTATGGCTTCGGAAAATTGCAGCTACTACAACGTTGCATACAGATGTGACTGGTTTGCCTGAGGGCTCGTGACACTACAAGCCGGCTTCTTTTTTGCACATTTGAACTTCGTATCTCACATCAAGGCATAGCTACTGACTGCATGGCGATAATTTCAGGACTTATGCTGCTTTGGTGGTATACATGAAGAGGCTGCCGCTGATGTTTAATGCAGGTTTATCCCACATGGTAAGCTAAGGCGCAAAACCTCGACTTCAAAGGTTGGTCGGAGCAGGCGCGGAACTTATGGTTCAAGGACTTCAAATCCCAGTGCTCCCGTGCTGTCATTCAAGATGCATTTTGGTTTTGCATCTGCTGGTATTTCAAGCCTGGCAAGCACCTGGACGTGGAAACGCGCCTTTTCGACCGTATTTCTGCCAACTTTGTCGGCCTCTTCAGTTCTTTGAATCCGAGCAGGAAGGACTTCTTCTTCAGATGCTATGCAGATGCTGTTGCCCAGGCCGTGCTCTATGCAATGTTCCTTGCTTACCCAAAGTCGCGGATTGATTTCACAGACAAGTTCCGAAAAGACCTGGTGATTCGCATTTCGTTTTGGACATCTGGAATATGCCCCGAGTTTGTGGACACCTCGCACTGGAAGTTGAATCTTGGCGGAGGTGACGTGCTCCAAGCAGCCCCATCCCAACCGCACCAACGGAATGTGGAGGCTGCGAGCCCCGTGTCGCTCAGAGGAACAGCTACGCAGCCATTGCTGGGGCAATTGAGTGCCGATTCGCTTGCTGACAAGGCTGCTTGGATGGGACATTGGAACCGGCGCCCTCGCCGCAAGTTGCAATACTCCCCGCTTGTGGAAAATTTCCTTCGGGCCAGAAAGTACTCCTCCGTGAACTTGGTTCGCGCAACCAGCATGCACATGACGACGGCTGAGCAGCGAGCCAAGAAAATGGATGTGAAGCATGCGATGCTGGCTGAACGTGCAACCGCTGCAAGGGAGCGGTGTGACAAGCTTTGCAACGAATACGAACCTTGTTTGAGTATAGAAAGACTCTTACGGTACTGGGCTTTGCTTGTCATTCTGTTTGTTGCGTGACCTGGCCCGCCTACGGGGCCTCACTAGGCAGTGAAGGCTGCGAGGCGGGAGGTGGGAGCTTCTCCACATTTCTCCACAAGCTCGCTTTCGCCGGTTTATCAAGGTGTCGGCCATTGGTTTCCTTGTGCTGCGAATAGGTCCGTGCAGGATGCCTTGGTCAATCGTTTGATGTACCTTCGGGGTTGCAAAGTGCTCAACTTGTTTTGTGGGTCCCAGACTTCGAGCTTGCGTTCAAATTATTTTGAGAAGCCGCGCGTTGTTGGGTGCTGAGGACGAGCTTGCGGCCGAGGTCCGCAAGCAAGAGCGGCAGCGCCAGATGCAAGCCCAAGCAGCCAAGAAGCGGCTCGAAATCCGTAGGAAGGAGGTGCTGCGATCCGATCCGCACTTTGCCAGAACCTCTAACTTTAGCAAGCATTATGTATGTGTATTTATTTACGTATGCATATATCTAGAAAAATAGATAGCATATATACATGTATATATGCATCTTTCTCTCTCTCTCTCTCTCTCTCGCTCTCGCTCCCTCCCCTCCCTCTCCTCCCTCCCTCCCCTCCCTCTGTCTCTTTCCATTACCCTCTGTACACACACATTTGCATGCATGTTAGCTCGAGATGTGTGCCTTGATTACGTACCATTGCCGGCCGGACTGTTGCTCTTCAAGTGTTGGTTGCGCCGGGATGTAACAGCAAGGCGCCGCTCATAGCCCCCGTACTTTTTTGACATGTGAGCATCGAAAAGCAGCAAAGAGAATGAGTATTTCTCCCTAATGCCGAGTTGGTCAGCACATCCACTGCCCCTGCCCCCCTGAGCATTCTGCATTGTGGGGTTGGAGAGAGATGCTCGGGGCTTGACAAAAAAAGAACCGTGAAACTTCTTTCCTTGCATGAACACCGAAGTGAGGAGCGCCAAAACTCGAACCCCGAAACCGGAACCTTCAAACACAACCTGAAGCCGGAACAAGAGTCAGCTCGTGCAGAAGTATATAGGGAAGTGAATGCGCTTAACAAGCAACTGTCGCAGAGTGCTGGGGTGGGCCGGTAGGCGAAAATTTGGGATGGAGGCACAGGTGCAAGGTGGGTTGGCCTTCGGAAAACATGTGCATTGGTTCTGAACAGTGGATGACAGAATGCTCACGCGATTCATGCACTTGAGCACACGGTTAGCATTGCTACCTGGCAGTGTTTGGATTGTGTTGCCTTGCCTCCTCCTTTGGTCCCATGGCATCCAAGGCATGAGTACGCGAACTATTTGGTTTCGCTCCACTTATTACAGCAGGGGCTAGGGCAGAAAGGATGATGCCAATACTCCATCAGCGTGAGCCCGGCGGGGGCTCTTGGATTTGCCTTAGGCAAGTTCAAGAGCTTCAACTTACAACGCCCAGGTGTGGCCTTGTGAGGGGATTTGAACATGTGAGCCACGGTGAGCAATTGCTCTGCCCTGGCCACTTGCTGTATCACCAACACTGAGACAGGTGCATGATGTGTGAGCTTTAGGCGGCGATCTTGCTGAAAACTGTGGCTTTCCCGTGGTGACTCCGGGCTTTGCATAGAACCCCGCAAATTGGGAGGGGAAGGGGGGGGGGGGGTTTTGCTCACCCGTCTCGACCAGGATGGAGTTGACTTTCTGTCGAAGTGGTTGATGCAATATGCAGAGCAGGAAGAGGCATCGGAGTGCATGACGAATGCTTCCAGGGTGAGTCTGGGCGGGGGTGAGTGAGACTCTGGGACCCTGCAGGCGAAGGAGCAAAAGGAGCAGGTGCCCTCACCAGCACACGATGGAATGAATCGTGATACGGCTTCCAGAGATTCCCAACCGTATTCCTGGTCTGTTTGTTATTTCCGATTCCCCGCTTTAATCTTGAAGCTGTCGTGGGATCATGCCATCTTACAGTTACTCAGACGCAGTGTTTGGATAAACGCGGGGGCAGGTAGAGAAGGAGCTCACGGAGCTGAGATCCCAAACCAGGCAGCACTTGGAAAATGTTGGCTCTGTAGCGGTAGACGTGTGCAAATAGTTTTGGAGACAATTTCCGTGGCAGCGGATCAGGGCGAAACGGGACGAGAAGGAGCAGTCAAGGCGCAATTGTCGGGCAGATGCAATCTTCACATTCTGCATGTACCGCCTTTTTGGCTGTTCAATTGTGTGAGGCAGCAGAAGCAGTCAGAAACCCAGCAGTTAGAATCCAAGTACAGCACCCTCTTTGAGAAGTTCAGCAGCGATGAGACAATGTTTGAGGAGAGCGATGGTTTTTGTATTGCAATCGGAAGCATGCAGACGCTCAGTGCAGGACAAGCTCTGGCAGGAGCTAGTCGACGTGGCGCAGGCAACCGCTGGAGCTTCGGCAGTATACCTTGGAATTCTGGAGCAAGGAGAGGAGGTGGGAACGGCTCTGCAAACTTCTGTATGGATGCAATGACATGACGAGCGACAGGGTGGGGACCCAGCTGGTCCGTACATCAGCTGCTTGGCCTACAACACTCTGTTTTGTTGCCAATCCGGGCGCCACCAAGCCTGAATCTGCTGTGCGACCTCAGGTTACGAGTATGCTACCAAAGGGTCAGAGTGGATGACGCAACAGATGCTTGCCGAGGGTAAAGGCACATCGGGTCGATCAAGTTTGATCATGAGTTGTTTGAGATAACTCGACACCTATAGTGCCTAGCGTAGCTATCCAGGTGTCACATGGGGGGCATTGACTGAGAATCCGGCGGAAGAGAATTTCAAGGAGATTTTGTCCAGATTCGTCACATGAAAAGCAGTCTTGGCCAAGCTTCCAGGACCTCTGCCTGTGGAAGCCACCAAGCGTAGAGCCAGTACCCGAAGAGCCCGTGGACGGTGCCTCCTGCTAGATTAGCGTGCAATGTGCTTCCTTGCTTCGAGACTCTTCCTGCAACCTGCCAAGAGATCGTAACCATGGCATCGCGCAGCTTCTTGCGGCAGGCCACGCCATGAAGTACGTCTAAGGACGTCAAAGTACTAGGTGAGCTTTATAGAGATGCATGTGGTCGACGAAACATGAGCATGGACAGACTCTGGGTGTAGACAAGGAAGGTAAGAGCATCGTTTGCATCTGCGTTTCTCTGCTTGGACAAGCACCAGTGTATGTTCCAGCACAAAGCAACCGGAAGTCCGTCACTTGCTAGATGTCACGCTACGCACGCTCTCGAAGATTCTGACACAATTTGCATAGGCATATGCGGCATATGTGCCCTCTGTGACCCAACATGTTTGACTGGGATGAAGTTCCAGAGCAGCTTGGCGGGCCAAACAAGGCGGCGTTGCAGGTCGAGGCTGAGGCCACCGGTTGATTTTTGCCTTGGAAAGAAGGTTCTGCAGTTCTGCTGAGAGCTTTGGAATATGTTTGGCAGCATCTTGCATGTCTTATGTCTTGGCGATGCTCGAGGCTGACCTCGAAAGCCGCACCCGATCCACCAAGCCTGAGACGCCTACAGAACGCGCCGAGCGGCGGCGCTTGGAACGCACGCAAGGTGCGAGCATGGAAAAGCTTCGCTCAAGCCATCCTGGTCATGTGCGCACCCGGTGGAAGGTACAGCCGCAGATCCCAAGCGCATGGCCGCACAGCCCAAACGTGCCGCTGCGAAGCTTGGAAGATTAGGAAGCATGGTGGCGTAATGTGGCGTAAGGCACCGTAATGCAGTGAAGCGGCGCGAATATATTCCGCAACCGGTTCATTGTGATTCCCAGTGTGTGTTCCCTGAGCCAGGAAGGCCCAAGTTGCCGATACACCGATTGCACAGCTCATCAAGGCTGCTCGCTCTGGAAGCTTGATGGCAGTCATGCGATTGCTTCAGACTGGTGTCGATCCCAATGCTGAAAGCAGCTCGCCTCACAGTACGCTTTGCTTATTCGGGAGGATTTCATTGCCAGATGGCACTGCGCACCTTTATGGAAGGCTACAGCAGCTCTGAGTGAATGCTGGACTTTGGCGTAGTTCGTCTAGCTGAGGTGCCCGTGGTACACTTCCAATCGAAGAAGCCGTGGCGTCCAACAGTTTGGATGCTTGTGCCGCCCTTCTCTTGCATGGTGCTGAAGCACGCACTTTTGCGCGGGCTGCTGTGTCCGGGTCTCCTGTCCAGCAGCTTTTGGAATTGTTTGCTGGTCGGGCGCCTCAGCCGGGTGAGTTACCCAAGCTGGTCAATGCCGTGGACCCGCTGCTGCGGCCTCAAGTTGCACAAAGTCTAATGAGCTTGGCACAACAGGCTGCAGCTGGTGCACCTGCACAGGCTGCACCTCCCAGTGCAGCCAGTGCAGCTCCCTCAGCTTTCCCTCCGTCTTACCCCTGTGCGCATCCCAGCTACCCCGCCAGCTCAGCAAGTGCTGTGCCCAAAGCTAAAGTTCTCCCAGCGAGTGGGGCACCAAGTCAGCGTACGGCTCCAGACACTGCGGCATTTTCTGGACGAAGCCTGCAGACGAATGGGCACTCAAGACAGACGGTTCCTTCACGGGCGACGATGCCAGGTGCAAACAGTCAGTCGCAGCCGACCCGGACAGTTGAAGCTCGGAAGGAAGTGCAGATTCCAAAGCGCGAGTCTGCACAAGCAACGGGTAAATCCCGCGCCCCGCATGCCTCTTCGCTCGGCCGTGCTGCAGCCGCAGATGATCTTGTAGAAGTCACTAACCTTTTGAAGTCGCGGGCGGAACCGAACGAGTATGACAAGAAAGGAGAGACACCTCTTTTCACGGCAGTTTCGGAGGCTTCACCGGACATTGTGGCGACATTGCTGTTGTGCAATGCAGAACCTCTGACAAAGTCTGTGCATGGAACAACGCCTTGGGATTTAGCATCTTGCAAAGAGACGAAAAGCTTACTCTGTTTTTTTGCTGGGCAAGAGCTGGAGGAGATGGAGAAGTTGCAGTTGCTGGATTCTTTGAGCGCCATGCAAGATGCGATTGGGCACGCGATTTCCGAGAGGGCCGCGAACCGCCGCGGGTTGCGGCCTGCAGAGGAGCTGCCGCAGGAAGACGGAGCTGGAGCTCCACTTCGCCAGAGGCCGTTGCCACCTCTGCCGCCTGAAGTTAAGAAGGCCCGGGATGCAATGGCGGCGAAGGACGGGCTGGAACTCACGAGCTGAAGGGTGCTGAGTCGGTGCTGAGGTTCTATGGGTTCTGTTTCAACCTCGACATGCATGAGGGTCTTGTGTTATCTTTAGATCCAGATAGCCTGATGCTTTCTACTTGCGTTAATGCTCAGGCCCAGCAGCTTGTTTTGCGCCTACCGAAACTGGTGGAAGGTGGTGGGCCTCGGAGATGTGGGGAGAGGTTTCGACATGATGCAAATCCAGCGGCCTAAAACCCTCAACCGCGACTCAAGGGCCGGTTTAGTCGCCGGGGACGCTGTGGTTTCATTCTGGTGACGCAGGCGCGTCTCAAAAAACTCCAAGCTTTAGCAGTGTGCGGATGCAGGGAGGGTGTTCCGCTTTGCTTTCTTGAGTTTCTCACTGTGCTGATGCGTCCTCTATGGCCGTGCCCCTTTTGTCACAAAAGTTTGGGTGGTCCGACGCGCTCGTCGGTGGTGGCAATGGGCTCACTGGACTCCTGCCCTCTGAGCCAAATGCCGGTCGGTCGCCAGCATCGTCCACATCAGATTTTAACTTCAATTTCTGTTCTAACGAGGAATCGCAAGCCCTGTGCCCCTAAGGATGCTTAAGTTGTTTAAGGGGAGCCGCTAAAGTGAGTTGCACCTTAGAGTAGAAGTTCGTTTGTGCACCATGGCCTGCACCGGGTCTAGGCGAAACCTCTGGGAACGTTTCGAAACTCAAGCTGGGGGTCGCGTGTCGACACTTGAGCATTCCGAAGGGAGGTTGCAGATGGAAGCTTCGCACCAGAATCTCCTTGAAGCCCTCGGTGTTCAGATTGGGCCTAAGACCAGCTCTTGCAATGTTCAACAACATTATCAAATTCCCAGCCGAAGAGCCAAGGATGATGATTCTTACCGGGGTTTTTTAAAGTCGTGCAATCTCTCAAATTGGGGGGCAGGCTGATGTCCATGCCGCGATGGCAGATCTAAAGTGGTCTAAAAGCCGTGCAGAGCAGTGGACGAGTGTGATGCAGGACCTGAATCAGGATCCTCTTGCATGCGCAGCCCGAGATGGTGATGTGGAGGAAGTTCTACGCTTGCTGGACGGCGGGTATGATCCAAACATCGGCGCTGTCCTTAGTGGAGTGACACGGGAAATGGAGACGAACGCTTGTCAAGTTTCAAGTTTTTCAGGTGATGAGCTGGGCGAGACCCCTCTCTTTGAGGCAGCTTCAGCTGGATCGGTAGATGTTGTCGCCGCTTTGCTGGTGAAGAGGGCAGATCCGGACAAGATGCTTGACCTGATCAAAGGGTTCAATGATGTTCAATGGGTCAAGCAAGCAGACGCTTGAAGTGCTTGCACTCTCTGTTTCTAAGGAGATCGCTGTCTGGTGGAATAGCCGCTGACCTGGCTGCGGACTCTGTCACTCGATCGCTGCTGTCGACGTATGCCGGCATAAAGATCTCTGACGAGGAGTGCCCAGGCTCCACATGAGTTGCACTAGAGTGTAAGTTCTGCCGTACATTATCAGAGGCAGCAGTTGTTGTAGCAGCAGTTGTGCTCTTTGCACCTAGGAAAGCAGCAGCCTGCGGAGCTATCAAGGATGACGAGCTGCGTGAATCTGTTGCGAACAAATTTCGCGCGGAGCATTTTCGAGGATCCGTGCTTCCGCGTTACATGCAAATGCTGCGTGCGTAGAAGCCGAAGGATTCCTCGGCCAAATTGTTTAAACGTCGGTGTTGTTCTTGACTCAAAGCTTTGAAAGCTAGGCGATGCGGTCTTGACTGAATGGCTCTTGGGCATTCAGTCACGCAAGTAGCACAGCATGTGCGAAGGCTTCGCAGCCAAGGCCGTTTCACCCGTTGGGCCTTGGTGATTTTGACTTGGCTTCTTTGCCTCTCACGAAAGCTGTGGCTTGACGTTTGCTGCTCCACATGCCATTCAGAATATTCAGAACCCAGCTATTCCACAGATTGAAGTCATTGAAGCGGCTCTTTGGCAGTTGCCAGGGGAGCCGCCTGCCGAGAAACCTGGCACTCCATACTATCCTGTCAGCATTGACTGCGCGACCTGGCTGCACGGGGACATAGCGATCGTGAAGGGAGCAGCTTCAGAACGAAGGTCACTGATGTGGAGAAAGTGCACTACTTTGACATGACCCGCCTGGGGGCCTTTTTGGCAATCCCCATGGTTTACCAGTCCTACTACCAGAGCTACTTGGACCGAGCAGGAAGAATGAGTCTGAAGCAATACCGCATAATACCGCCACTGCCTGCTCCTGCCATCTAGGTGATGCGTATACGGATGCCAAGACATTCGAGGAAGAGAAGAAGGCAGAAGCCCTGAGGCCCTGTGCAATTGCCAGATGGTTGAAGGTGCTGCTAGTTTCAACAGAGCAATCGGATCCCAGGCGTGCTGAAGAAGCAGCTGCCAGAGCAGCCGCGATCGCAAATGGTGAGGTCCTGGAGGAAGCCGAGCCCGAAGTCGCGGAGGCCGGAGCTGTGAACGTGAGTTGAAGTCAATGACATCAAGAGATCTTCGATTTCACATGCAGGCACATGCACGTGCTAATTGCTGAGACACATAGACACGCCACCATTGAGAAAACAAGGAGAAGCAGCTGGTCATGCGGGGCAATGACGTGAAAATGGTCCTTTGCCTTGACACGCTGGGTGGCGGCCTCGTAGACTACTCGAGAAAAACCGAAAGGTCAGTTGACTGGAAGCATCACCGCTGTCAGGCACCAACACCTCCTTTGAGGAGGGCAATGCGGTGAAGGTGCTGGAGCTGGCCAAGGTTCCCAAATATTCCCAAATATTCCCAACCATCTGTAGCCGAAATTGGGCAGCTGACAGCTGAGCCTGAGGCTTGCTGCCAATCTAAGTCCAAGACAGAGTTCAAGCAGGCTCTCGGATGCGCAAAGTAAAGGAAGTAGAGCCCAGTAGGTCGGGTGAGCATGGCGAATTCCGAATGCCTGCCGTGATCCTGCAGAGTGGACTCGATGTGAGTCCCAGGTGGATTCTCAAGCATTGAACGTGATCGATGACGAATTGCGTGCCCAGCAGAACGAGCAGGTGCGGACGGATGCGCACCCAAGCAGACAGTGAGGTGAGGTTTTCTTCTTTGACTTCTTTGACTTGCTTGCCCTACTCCTACATCCAAACTTATGCAGGAGAGAAGTCGAGCAACCCCAAGAGATGGTATTCGAACACTCGTTGGCCGCCCCCCCCTCCCCCCCTCACCTTCAAAATGCCTTGAAACACTCCCCTCTCCCTGCCCCCCAGAATACAAGGCCTCCTGCCCGAAACTAACTCCGGCCTTCCGGATCCCTAAACCTGTGAATTGGTGAAGCTGAGGGTCTTAGCAGAGGCCCAATCACAGGGGAATAAATTCGGGCTTTGAATGCAATATGCCTGGCTCTGAAGCTTTTGGGCTTGGGGAATTATTGTGGCACCCTTGCCAGGTATCTGGGCGCAGCTGTGCAGCAATGCCTGAAGTTCTACTAGCACTTTAAGCCTAATTGTAAACGCTTGCGCGCGCCGCCTAAGGGGTTTCTTCAAAAAGAGGGGAGGGGGGGTTGCAGGCTGGGGGGGTCCCAGGGGGGGGGCACACCATGCTAACCAAGAGTTGCGGGCCAAACAGTGATAAACAAAGGGGCTTTGTTTTCAGTGCAAACAAAGCTCAAAACTAGAAGCTATCAGCGTTGTTGCTCCAGAATTTGTGCTTTGGCAGATTACCGAAATTGACGGGAACGTCGAGCAGATGCATGCAGAGCAGCTGGAGCTTGAGGAGGCGGATGCCACAGACGAGCTTCGGAAGGACCGCTGCTTCATCAATACTTGCTGAGCGGTCCGGGGGGGGCGGGGGCGGGGTGGGTGCGGGGGGGGAGGGGTGGGGTGCGGGCAAGCCGGAAAAGCATTGAATCAACTCGGCAAGTGGTGCTGGCAGGAGGTGGTTCAAAAGAAGTTTGCCTTCTTGCGTGCATTGGAGGCACGGAGGGCACGGACATGATCCGGACATTGTGTCCTGCTTGGGTGGCTGCTCGTGACAACTGTGGCTCTCGAGGTTGCCAAGGAGCTTTCTTCGATGATTTCCGGCTTGACAAGCTGGGTTTACGCCACGCCCGATCTCATGAACGTGGTTGCAGCAACTTGGCCGCGTCTCCTGCGTTGCGTCAGTCGGCGATGCAGCGATCGCTTGCCGAGGCCCTGGCGCATTTCGCCGGCTACACCAAGGCTGACATCTATCCGAGGAGACTTGCTTCAACACAGGTGTGGTGCTCTACATTCCAGTTCGTTCCCGTCCACCGCCCATCGTGTGGAAGGAGGAAGACGACCCTGAATTGGCAGCACTTGAAGCAGCTGCTGCAGAATCCCTTGCAGTTGCTGGAGAAGGTTGGCAAGGTTGAAGTCGAGGGCCCGAGGCAGGGCTTCTTCGATCATCTGCATAGAGAACCTTCGCCATCCTTTCGCCATCCTTTCGCCATCCTTTCGCCATCCTGCATCTTTTCAGTTTCTCTGGCCGCTCTAGCCAGTCACAGGAAGGGCCTTCTGCCAGAGCACTTGCATGCCTACATCACGCAGCTGGGATCTCCAGCCGAAATGGATGCTGAGAAGGCGAAGGACCGAAAACTCGTGTGGCGTTTTGTCCCCGGCTTGTGGCTGGTCAGTGCTCAGTTTCAGGAGATTGCGCCAGCATTCCTCATGCTCTTCCAGGTCCTTCAGGCGCAAGGAAGAGAGCACAGGCAGAGAGAAAGAGAGGGGAGAGAGTGGAAGTTTGCCCCTCAAGCCCTGCAGAAGAAGAATAGAAAGCAAGACCGGCTGAGGGAGAACCCCCATTTAAGACTCCAACAGCTAGAAACGTTCCCTTCCCTGCCCTCCCAAACTCGCTCATCTTGCATATCACATCTCGAAACCGTAATTCCTGCCCCCTCCCCCCCCCCTCCCACCCCTTCCCCCCCCAACCCTTCGCAAGTCAGCAGTCATGCCACAGACTGAGCAAGAGAAGACCCTAAACCCCAGAAAGGAACGGAATCAGGAACTGCTGCTCCAAATGCTGCAAGTGGCAGCAGCAGGGTCTGCCGAGGTTCTAACGGCGAAGAGCCGGATCTCAATGCATGAGCTCCCGAGGCTGAAGTCCATGTCTAGGTGTGCCTCTCGATTCGCATGCCAAGTCTTGCTATTTTGCAATGTCTGGAACGTCTGCCGGTCTTCAAAGACTGCGACTTCTTTTTTGAGCTTTGCATCCTTTGCCCATCTTCGCCCACTTCCATGCGTTGTCATCTGTTCCACATTGGCAGTGGCTCTGGACTAGATCCTCTTTGTGTGCGTGTGATTCTTCTTACCTTTTCTACGATGTTGACCGCTGTTTCCCGTGGCGCCTGCCATGGAGGGATGCACAACAGTCAGGTGGTGGGCTTTCAGAGATACGTTTACTCAGAACTTCGGGTAGGCTGGGTGCGCCTACCGCGCAGCTGACCTGGAGCTGCGCAAGGCCGAGTCTGCGCATCGTGAGACATGTGCCCTGCAGTTACCGCAGTTTGCTGGGCATGCTGGCGCGCCTGCGGAACTGTTAATGTTGACCTCGAATTAATAATCCCCCCCCCCTGTCTCAATTGTTTTTTTGTTTTCGCCCCGACCCCCTATTGAGGGGGCGGGGGGTCGGGCTGTCTCGAGCCGGCCCCAAGCCCTGACCTACCAAAAGGGCCCATAGAAAAAGAATCGGTCCCCGGGCCGGGATTCCTTAATTTAGGGGGGGTTTGGGATTCCTTAATTGAGGGGGGGTTTAAAAATCTGAGGTTAACCTTATGCCTCGTTCGGCCCACAGGCAGAGTTCAACAAGCAGAAGGAGGAAGCTGGAGAGGTCCAGCAGCATCTTTTTGCAGCTCTTGTGAGACAAGCCCATAGTCACACAAGAATGTCCGTCTGCGTTTCTGGGCAGGAATATGACGGGCCCGCGCTGGAAGACCTGGATGACGACTTTCGGGCGTCCTAAGTGCCCAGGCACCGTAGCAAGTGGTCTTGGAGTGCTTCATGGCAGCTCCTGGCCTCTGCCATCCTCTGCCAATGATGGCACTTGCTTGGTAGCTGCATGCTGTGGCGATATGACGGGCTTTGGGGGTCCTTGTCTCTGCAGGTGTGCCGGTGACGACGCCAGCAAGCTGTCGAAGCATTTGCATGCCGTACTCCGTTTCACTCAAATGTGCCGTCCAGGGCATCATTTCACCGTGCTTGCCGCCGCATCAGCAGTGTCAGATGTGACAGCATTGAAACGCATTGAATCAACACAACAACGACACGGGCAGCAAGCAAGAGGGCTGTACTGAGACTTTGCACGCGCTACGCGAAATTGATCATACCATGGCGTTCATCTAGGTCTTTGAGACGATTGAGAAAAACGCCAGGGCAGAAAGGTTTCCAAAGTTTTCTGATCAGGGTGAGATGCGATGCTCGAGCGTTGGTTGTGAGGTGATGATGCACGAGGTTCTTCGAGCCAATGGCGGCATTCCGCCTCAGGCACCACGGTTCATGCTTCTTGTTCTGGCCTTTCCCGACCTGTGCTTCAGGTTGCGGCATTCGCTGCCTTTGCCGCTCCATCCCTGCCCTCCTAGCCTTCGGCGCGGCTCTTGGCAAATCATTCCCCGGGAAGGTGGTAGAGGTGAATGGTAGTCGAGTCGTGAAGGCACCAGCCTGCTGAACCACCTTTGATGTCTTGTAGAATTCCCATTGCCAAAAAGCATGACCGATGTGGATCCCCCCCAAAGCCATTTAATTGTAGTTCATGTGTAAGCTTGCGTGCAAATGTTGTATTTCATGGGTCCTTTCTTTGCGGCTCCTAGCCGCTCTTGTGCAACTGAAAATAATATATTTATCTGAGAATAGCCAATGTTATCATTCGCTTCTGACATACGGTTTGTGCTTACATGACAATCACATGAAAATCAGTTTAACATGCTTGTATGGGCTAGCATGGCAGAGTGAGAAGAGAGAGAGAGAGAGAGAGAGAGAAGGCGCGCCCTTCGGGGCGGCTCCCCTCTGGGGGGCCATGCGTGTCGAGAGAGAGAGAGAGAGAGAGAAGGAGAAGAAGAAGAAGAAGGAGAAGAAGAAGAAGAAGAAGAAGAAGAAGAAGAAGAAGAAGAAGAAGAAGAAGAAGAAGAAGAAGAAGAAGAAGAGAGAGAGAGAAGAGTTTAGGGGACCTTTTCGCTGAGTAGAAGAAGAAGAGAAGAGTTAATTCATATGGCCCCGTACTGAAGTAGCAAGAGCACACCCCTCTAGTGGATTTAGTTGAACTGTATCAGGTTTTGGTAGGATTTGTGCATGCTTAGAACGCTCTTAGCGTGATTCTTTCGTTTCCTTGTTCACTTGGTACCGTGCCCGAGTGTGAAGGTCGAAATTATGGCTTCTTTGGGGAACCTTCCGTCAATCAATTTACCATCATTTACCAGTCTTTCGGGAATGTAGGCAACGGGTGCCGGAAGAGGCAAGGTCAATCGAAGCTCGTTTGGCTCTTTCACGGCAACCTGGCATCCGCTGTGCCGTAACGCGGCCCGGTAGCCTCGTAGCCTCGTAGCCTCGTACGGGTATTCGGTAATGTGATCCAACCGCGCGAGCCCACGTTCTGGTTGTTCGGTCAACCGGTGAACTCCTTAATCATTTTCATCATTCTTTGCTTTCTCATCATTTCTTGCTGCAGTTCGGCCCTCCCTTAGGTACCTGAGCGGCACCTTCTCGGAGAGGAAGTTTGTACCGCAGGGCCGTGAAGGCACCAAACTTGCGGAGAACACGCAGCTGAGGGTGTTGCTGAAGCCGAAGCTTCAAGAGTCAAGAGCATGGCCAGGCCGACCCCCGCCAACTCAACCACTAGTCGTGGACTTGGCCTGCTGACAGCAAAGCGAGTGAGTGTCCTCAGAAATCCAATCCGAGGCTACAGTCGTGCAATGCAGCAGAGGACGTGCTCTACTCGATCCAACGAAATCCAGCAGAATCCACTGGGTGCACTAGGCAAGAAGATGCCTTGGAAGCTTTGGCAACAATCTCTCCATTAAGGTGCTGGAGCTATGCGGGGAATGCTTCAGCCAGTTTGATCGAATCAATTTGTCCACAGCGTCCATGACCAAGCATGTGGCTAGCAAGTACTGCGACCCCTTGCAGCTTGGAACGTGGCATCTTCCTCAGGTTGCAAAAGCTCGCAAAGTTGCGTGCCACCACGCTGGCTGATCCGTGAGTGGCTCAGCAGTTCTCTGGTTGTGAAGCCCGGGAAGCCGAAGCACCAAGCCGGAAAGGCTTGTATGGCTTGTGCAGCATCCGGATGCCTCAACTTGCAGACATTGGCTCAATCCTGAACACAGAACACAGAGACAGTGTCGTGCGCAGCTCCTGGCCTGGAGCCTGGTGGTTGCCCGTTGCACGGTTCTGCAGAGTTCAACGAGTTTGAGATCTGAGGCTGACAATGTTTACCTGCTGTTGCGTAGATGAGAAGATGCTCGACCGGAATTGTGGGTTGATATTTGGACAGAACAGCCAACTTCACATCGGATGAGCTGAAGGGTTGTCCTCTCTCTCGCTCTGTGTGGGGTGCGTCCTAGAAGCCAGGCCGGCTGACTTCGTGGAGCTGCAGATGGACAGTGCCTTCCCTGAGGGAAAGGTGGGCAGTGTGAGCATGAGGGGTACGCCGGGTAGGGTGGGAGGCAATGAAGAGCAAGGGCCGCAAGGGCCGCAAGGGCAACAACAATGATTAGGCATGATGAAGAGTTCTTTTCTCACGCTGGCCTGTTCATCAGGGCACTGCCGCGGCAGCTCCCGAAACGTTCGACACACGGCTGCAGGTCATTCCGTATGACTTCGGTAGGTCTCTTTGTCCTCCACGGTTGCGTGCATGCTTGATACAGCAGAATAGCGAGCCAAGGACATCTTCCTTGACCGCGCACCAGGAACCTACTTCGGCGTGGACCTTTCGAGCGCAGGGAAGGCCTTTGTAATGGCTGTCGCGCCTCTCTGTGGTAGTGTCTTAGTGTCTTCACTAGATGCTGGAACTTGAGCTACCTGCACCATCCAGCACCTGTTCAAGATTTGAAAAGTTGCCTTTGTTCGTCAGGCGTGTGTTGTCACCAGTGTCACCACAGACGGCCTGATCGCAGATTGGAACGCCAAGTGCAGCGAAGAATCGAAAGTAGCTCGCCTTCGAATGGTTGAAAGCTCTTGCCTGATCTCATGTCGCAGACGAAAGCCTTGAATATCAGGTGCAGAAGTATGACAGGCTCTACGCAGTGAATGGCCAGACAAGCGAGAAAAGCAAGGAGTCTCGTCGTCTTGCCAGTTGAGCTCTCCAAAAGTTTGCAGGCTTCGATATGTTTCGATGGCCAGTATCACATCTTGGTCATTGGTGTAGATGGATTTATGTTCATTGCGCTTAGATGGGCTGCAGGAGATCTTGGACCTGCTGAAGTCTACACACAACAAGATGGTCCTCACGTTCCAACGGGCGATTGTGAGCGAGGTGGGCAATGGAAGCTTTACACGATTTCCGCACGTCAATTGCCGTCCAACGCAATCTTGATGAGGGACCTGTGCAGGTGAAGGTCCAGCGAGGTGCCCTCAACCTTGGCATGCACTTGAAAGATGGCCCCCACTTCCTTCTAGTCCTCGGCGTGGAGGATGGGGTTGTCAAGGACCGCACGTGTCGAAGGGCACCTGGGTGAGCTTCATCTTGTTGCTTCGTGTGCCCCGCAGGACTTCAACAAGACTGTGCCCACCGAGTGTCTTGAAGGAATAACGGGACAGTTGTCGTTTGATGTGCCTGGCAGATTCTTGCTCTTGTCGTTTCTCGTGTGAGCGAAAGTGCTGGCTTGTGGATGGGGGGCTGCAGATGCAGTCCGATAAGCTTGATGTGGTGACCCATGCTAAGGCAACAGATTCAGCAATCTGACAGAATCATTGGTGTAGATGGCATGGAGGGAGTCGGAGCGGCTCTCCTGGACAAGGCTGGCACACACGCGCAAAGTTTAGCGATGCGTACCAGCGTAGCACAACATTCTCCAAGAAGCCTGAGCTGCAGGTCAAAAACGCCGGCCCCGAAGTGACATTGAAGGTCTTGGCTTGGAGGCAAGGATATGTCTTTTGGGTTGTTATTCCGGATAGCACCGGCTGCCACAGCGACGCTGCAGGCCATAAAGTGGTTCTTACAGAAGTGTACGGGCCTTGGGGCCTTTGGGGCTGCAACCATGAGAGGAAGTTGCATGCATGAGTCCAGGCTCACGGATCACTTGCGCTATTCACTCCTGGGTGCGAGGTCCAACGTGCACATAGTCGAGGATTTAGAACTCCATGCTGCGAACAGCTTGAAGTGTTGTGTATCATACCACCACGTCAGTAGGAAATTTGCATTGGCAATTTTCCTTGTGCGCGCATTGCCGCCGGAGAAGATCCGGTCGAGTTCTATGTTTGTGCTGAAGCAGAAACGCCCCAAGAGCAGCAATGCGCACTGATTGTGTACTGCACTTGTCACCCTGTCACCTTACTGGTGAGTTGTTGCGCGAAAAGAACATGCTTGTGCGCGTTCTGGTGGGCTTGCCTTTCGCTTTTGCATTCGGCAGGAGTGGTAGTCGGGCGAGTCTTGCTGAGGTGATTTGTAGAGCTGTTGGACAGGATTCAGCAGGCCAGCTGGCAACAGCCACATGCTGATCCGAATATCGATAGTCAGCTCTATGTCAGCTGCACAGGCTTTGCCTGAATCTACAACCCAGGGCCTGGCCAACGTGGGAGCCCAAGCAGCCCTGTTTCGGAGCTGGGCAAGAATTTTGTGACTGAGACGTACATTGACTGTTGCCGTCTCGGGCTTGAATCAGAGTAGTCCTTCGCCTCCATCGAGTGCCTCACGCTGCTGGGCAAATGGACTCAGCCAATGTGAGTTGAGTGCTTCATATCAAACTCATAGACGGCATGGTCACCTTTCACAACTTTGCTTGAGGATTGCCAGCAGCGCCAGAAGTGCCTGTGCCATGAGCGTCAAGCTGATAGGAGAGAGCATGACCTTGTATCGGAGCCGTGACATTTAATTGGCAAAGTGTCGGTGATGGTCATGTTTTCTCGGTCCGCCGCACGCGTGCGGTTGCTGAAGTGACATCTTAGGAGCGTCATGAGGCTTCACCGTTTGAAGCTTGATCCGCAGATGCGCAGCCTGGGGGATACCTATGCAAGGAAGGAGTTCAGGCTGCATGGCAAGCCTCAGGCCGAGCGGCTCAGTGAAGCAGCCAAACAGCTTGCCGTGAATCTCCCTACGACAGGTCACGGACTCACAGCGGCAGATGTTCGTGCAAGAGTGGAAAAAGTATGTTGCGACTTGGCTTGATGGGCTGTGGCCTTACACGGTCTAGGAGAGCATGCAAGGGTGCAGTGGCAAGAAGCAAAGTCGCACATTTGAACGCCTCGCCAGGACATGATCAGCATGCAAGAGACTGTGGTTGGCCGCATCCCTAGAAACCGACTTCTGTTGGCAAGTTTGGAACTTTCAAATGGGGCGGTATTCGGCTCCAGGCCAAGAGCTCACTGCCGAACAGAAGGGCAAGCTCAACGACCAACAGAAGGCGTGCTTGCTTGGGGCTGTAGTTGGGGGTGGGCTCTACCATCATTTACTATGGGATTTGCGCTACCCACCGTGGGCCCGCCGTTACAGCTCCGCTACAGCACCTGCTACAGTTCCGTTACAGCTCCGTTACAGATTCCACTAGAGCTCCGTTACAGCTTTGTTGCACCTCCATTACACCTCCGTTACAGCTTCCGTTACAGTTCCGTTGCAGCTCCGTTACAGCTCCGATGCACCTCCGTTATACAGCTCCGTTACAGCTCCCTTGCACCTCCGTTACAGCTCCTTTACAGCTTCCGTTACAGCTTCCGTTACAGCTCCGTTGCACCTCCGTTACAGCTCCATTACAGCTTCCGTTACAGCTTCCGTTACAGCTCCGTTACAGCTCCATTACAGCTTCGATGCACCTCCGCTACAGCTCCGTTGCAGCTTCCGTTACAGCTCAGTTATACAGCTCCGTTGCACCTGCGTTACAGCTCCGCTACAGCTCCCGTTACAGCTCAGTTGTACAGCTCCGTTGCAGTTCCGTTACAGGTCCGTTATCAAGTTGCTGCTTCTGCTACGGCTCCGTTACAGATTCCGTTACAGCATCGCTACAGCCGGTAGCGCTCCGTTGCAGCCTTCCGATACGGCTCCGTTACAGCTCCGCGACAGCTCCGCTCCTTTCCGTTACAGTTTCCGTTACAAGCCCCGTTACCGGCGAGCATTTCTGTCATAGTAGAGGCCTGCAAATGATGGTAGGGCCCCGCCCCAAGGCTGTAGTCACATATGCCAATAAATCACATCCTTCGTGAATTTCCGAGAGGTCAACCCACTGTTTCAACATTCTTCAGCAATGTTAACAACCCCCAGGCTTGGTCCGGTTAGTGGCCCCAAAGATCCACCACCGGAGTGCGAATTTAGGGGGCCCAGGTGAGCAGGGGCGGCCAATGCCAGAAGACCAGCCAAAAGACATCCAGAAACCCTGGCCCTAACTTGCGAAATCACATACGCAAACCTGCGTATGTGGAAACAGAAGAAGAAACGACCCACGAGCTGTATATTGCACGACAAGGCCGGCATAATGTTTTGGTAGTTCGTCATGCTTGGGCTGGAGTTAGAATGGGATTCGGCTGGCTGTACCGACCGGCAGCCCAGATTAAATCCCCCAAGTGGAGAGTTTCGGACTCGTAAATGAAGACCTTCCGGGGGCTTAGGGGCACAGTGGGTGGCGACCACAGCGCAGGGTGCAAAGCAAGGGGGTCTAGCCATGTTTACTTCAACCTCAGCTTAAGGTTGACATGTCAAATTGCCAAGCATTTTGGCATGCTGCCTGTCCGGTTCCGAATCCTTAAGCACTGCTGCCGCTGTAGCTTTCAAGCTATCGCGAGTTCAGTTTCAGAAGCAAGGAACTCTCAGTCACGCTTTCTAAAGGAAGGAGCGCCGAACATTGCATGACCACAGCGTCGCAAGAAGATCCCTCCCAGGTGCAGCTTGACAACCTGGAGCAGTCCGCCAAGTCTCTGGCATCTCAAGGGAGCTGACCGGCGCATCCGTATGTCCCTATTTTTCTGCCAGACGGGCACCCTACAGTCCCACAGGTCTCCTTGGTTTGAAATGCTTGGAAAAGAGCTTGTACACATGGCCCTCAGCAGATCGAAGATCCGAGCTGGCTGGGCCCGAGACACCGAGACATGTGATTGCGTTGATCCCATGAAAACAAAAAACTCTTAAGGCCACAACTCAGCCAGGTGATAGGAGCGGATTCGCAGCAGTTGGGTTGATATCAGTGCTATGCGACTTGCCTGGGCCTCTTTCAGATTGCCTGGTCTTAGGGTTCCTGTGGCTTCAAAGGGTCTTGCAGAAGACTGAGGGTTGGGCTTCAGAACTGACTGGAGAGCTGGCGGGGGTTGGGGTCTGCTGAGCATGCTGCCGAGAACGCGGCCGAGTGCCCCGTTCTCAGTGAGACGACTTTGACACCATCAAAGACCTGTTCCGGGAGAATAGAAACAGTCCGTGCTGCGGCATCAAATGTTCAACGCAAATTCGCCCAAACTATTTCGCCAATTGCAACGTGCAAGAGCTCACGAAGAGGCGTGCAGGATTTATGAGTCTACCCGGTGATCTTTGCAGGGACTGCTGCAAGCAAGGAAGCATGCGTGACACCTGAACTCGGCCTTAAATTCGGAACGTGGGGGACTACCGGAGCGCTTCATGAAGCTTCGCCTGACACCATGATGGGTTGTACATCCAAAGAATCCCGAAAGTGGAAAAAACCGCTTTCGGCCTAGCAGGTTTGGGCCTCCCAGGTTGCCTAACAAAGAGCCCAGTAGGTCCCTAAAGGCAGCACTCCTTAAGGCCTCAGAGGGCCTCAGAGGGCCCCGGCAGGTTACGATTACCTTTTCCTCCCTTTTTATTGTTCTAGAACATGGCTATGGTTGTCACTGTGGTGCTTATGGTGGTTATGGTGGGTTTAAATTCGGGCTGGCATGGTTAGGTGATTGTGTTGTGCAGTTTGCTGGACAAGGCGCGATGGTTCAAGCTTGCTGCCATGGCCCGGAATAACCGCAGAGGTGGCAACTCTCAAGGACGCGGCAAAGGCGGGCCGTGAGCGTTTCGCCATTGTTACCTCGTGACCCGGGGGGTGGATGACCACAGAGGAAGAGGCAGAGGCCAGCAACCAGATGGCCGCCATCCGCACGGCCACCCTACTCCAGGTGTGGAATCTGCGGTGGATGCCATGTTTTCATACTTTGGCACATCCCGTGGTTTAAGACTGTCGCGAGGTGTCGTTCGGCGACAGAAGGAGAAGCCATCCCGAGGCGGAGGCCGAGGTAACAAAGGTGGAGCCCGGAGGCGGAACAACGGGCGAACGAATGCGGGTCCTTTGCCGGCCTCTGTTCAGACGGAAGTCAGATGCTTGGATGGCACTTGTGCTCTGCAAGTCCATTCTCTTGTAAACCGGTCTTATAGTTGGTAGCCACTGGTAAAGTGTTGCTGACATGCGACGCGACAGGAGAAGATGGAATGTTTCGGCATTCCGAAGTTGAAAAAGCGCATGGCGACGCCGTGATGTCCATCGTCATGGCAGCAGACTGCATCTACACAGCCTCCCGCGACAAAACCTTGAAGAGGCCATAGTCAATAGCTAGAACGGCCTGCTGGGCATGCTCTTTCCCTTTGTTCCTGAAGTGAACCTGGTAGCCACGCCCACAAAGAGTGCCGCAGATTTGCGCAGCGGAGTATCCCACAGATTTCAAAGCATCCCGTATCGGAGTGCCCACCCCAAGGCCGAGAGAATCCCGCAGAGCAATAATCCCTCAGAGAATGCTTCGCCGCCCCTAAGAATTGCCTCGAGAATCCCACCAAATCCCACCAACCCGGCCAGAGCATTTCTCGAACTCCCGCAGAGAGAGTCCTGCAGAGAATCTCGGGGGGCATCTCACGGAGTATCCTTGGAGTACCCAATCCCAGATGTTCCTTCCGCACCCAGCACATAGCTCAGTTCTTAGATTGGGGTCGGAGATCAGAGAGTAGATAGCTTCGTTCGCTCTCCGCATCGAGAGGTGGAAGGTCAACAAGGCAACGTCTGGTAAGTTCGAGCTCGCTGCAGAACTGGAAGTGCCACTTGGAGACGTTTGCTGGTGCCTCATTAGCGCCGGAGACTGGTTGTTCTGTGGGCTTGGAGATGGGACCATCAAGGCTCGTCCTGAAAATGGATTGCACGTTTTGGGGAACATTTGGAACACGTGAATTATTCCTTGAGTCGTCTCGCGGCAGGGCTTCATGAAGACGGGCGCGGAGACGGTACTGAGGGGCCACACAAAGCGTGTTGGCTGTCTCATGACGCACGAGCATGTGCTCCTTTCAGGGGCCTCTGATGGCTCAGTCAGATGCTGGCAAATGAACGTGCACACGCAGACGTTTGAATGCAGCTTGGCTCGGACAAAAACCGGCGGGGATCAAGCCGCATCCAGGAGATGCTAGGTAGCTTTTCTTCTATTGTGCTGCTTCTTTGTCTGATCCCGAAGGTGCTTGCTCAGAAACCCAGAGGGGGTCTGCTAGGCGGGTGGGAAGAAAATCCCCGGACCCTGCGAGATGGGTGGGGAAGAAAAACCCTGCACCCTAAACCCTAAACTCTAAACCGTGTCTTGGTTCTAACTGTTGGTACGCCACAAAGTGGGCTTGTCCCTCGTTTCCGGCAGCTGGGACGTGAACGTGCAACGTTTTGAGTAGAGTCCCGGAGAGTAGGGAGTGGGGATGCAAGTAAGTAGGCGAAATCGAGGACTGGGAGGAAGGGGGCGGACGTAAGGTAGTGGTGTGCTCAGCTGTTTGTGGATTGCTGTCCTGGGTGTTTTGGTTCGTGCGGTGGTAGCGAGTTCGCCCCCGGAATTAACACGTCCTCGAGTTGCAAGACTGGGGAGCGTGAGCGTGAGCATGCCCTGCACTTTTGGCCTGCCGGGGGGATGATGTTGGGGTTATTAGTGATGTTCTTGGCGGTTCATCTGTTACTTCTCGACCCAGTGGCATGCTGATGCGATGTGCGGGAGAACTTGGGAAACGTCTCACTCGGAGAGAGGGCGAGGCGCGTAACACCGTACCATCTGCCCAGCCTTCTTTTGTGTTTCAAACGCGGCGCCGGTCCTGGAGCACCTGAAGAGGTGCGAGGAGCGAAGTGCCAGGCTTGGATAGCAGCCCCGCATTACCCTGGCCCTTTGTGGTTCCCACTTGTGATTGTACGGGGTTGATTGGTTGGGTTTGTGCCTTGGGCAGGGTTGTTGGGCTGCATCGGGGCCCTTTTTGCCTCATGAACCACGTATGCCCACGACTGTTCCCTGCGGAGTGATCCCTTTGGGGTCTGCTAGGCGGGTGGCAAAAAAAATCTAAACCGCGTGGGGGTTAGTCTGTTTTAGTGGTAAGTGCGGTGTTGTTGTGGAAAAAGGTGTAGTAGCTGGAGCAACATGCACTGGATCGCTTTCCTTGCTTCGCGTTGTCAGTGTTTTGGGTTTAGGTTGGTTTGGTGGGGTTTAGGGTTTGTTTCTTGAATGCGAAGCGGGGGAAGATGGACCCTGAATGCGAAGCGGGGGAAGATGGACCCTGCTGGTTTTTCAAATCCCGCCCAAAACACAGTGCAGAGATACAGGCTTTTTATTCGGTCGAGGTCAGAATTATGACCTACGGATCGGGGTTTTACCAAGTCGCACTACAAACCATCAAACTCTGCCTGCGGTTCGGCCAGCCATGCGGGAGCGAAAAAAAAACCCTAAACCCTAAACCCTAAACCCTAAACCCTAAACCCTAAACCCTAAACCCTAAACCCTAAGACGAGGCACGCATGCCATCGACGAGGGCATCTCCGGGGCCGTGACGTCGCTCTCGGTACTTGGCGAAGGGCTCTGGGTCGGGGGCACCTCGGGAGTGGCACTGGAGCCTTGGTGTCTACATGTTTGGGAGTCTTTTTTGACAATACTATTTGTTGTCGTTGCACATGTATTTTGTCATATTTGTATACTGTATGGCTTATATTCGTATACTGGCATATGAGTAGACAAAGTACTTTTTCGTGCAGTATGTTTTTCTTTTCTTTTTGCTCCTGGGCACCTTGACACGCAGTATGTTGGAGATGACGTTTTGAGGTCGAGTTGGCCACGTTAAAAGTCGTCAAGCACCTGGAGCCACGGAAGTTTGTTTCAGGCAGGGTGAGGAGTGTCCCCTGATGGGCTGAATTTACAATCCCTGGCCAGGACTCCTGCAGTTCGAAGGCCACATGAAGCTTGCTGGCACTTAACCAGTCCCCGAAGCAGCCAGGCTCTGACATGTTGAGTTCCCGCCGAAGGATTGTCGTGTATGCCGATGGCAGCATGTGCATCTTCGATGGCCTGGGCGCTATGAAGCACAAGCAGCCAGCACTGCCTGCTGGACCTGTGCTCTGCATAGAGACCTGGCTCCTGACTTTAGCATGGGGTTAGTCTGCCTCTGCTTGCCTTTTCTTGCAAAGCTGCGCATTTCTCGCGCTGCGAGGCCGGCTTGGAGTCGGGTCCAAGAGTTCTGTGTGGCCATGCAAAAGGCCAAGTCAGCTCCATAACCCTGCCCAACTTCATCCTCAAGAAGTATTGGCACGCCTTGGAAAGGTGCAAGGCCGGGTGATGGCCATTTCTTGAAGCTTGCTGCTCTGAGCGTTTGTTTAAGAGTGATCGTGCAGGTTCAAACTCTCTGTTGCGCCGGCCACGATGGCATCTACGTCCTCGGAGCTGAGAATGGCACACTTCAGCTGTGGCAGCGTGATGGATCAGTCGATGCCCTTTGACTACGCATCAGATGTCCTGAGCCTGAACCCTCCTGAACCTTCTTCTTGTCGAGTCATGTCTGTCAGCGGGCATCGGTTTCGGCTTTCGCTGCTGCGTGGCAAAAGGTACAGTTGCCCGCTGCAAATTGTTTCACGTTGTTTCATCCTGTTAGGCCAGCGGTAGTCGTGACACCTTGGCTCCACCAGCACAGTTTTGTGTTGCATACGATGGAAGAAATACTCTGTGTGTGTGTGTGTGAAGTGGTAGTGAAGCCGTGCCGAACGCTTGTGATACACGGGACCCTCTGCTGTCTCAGTTGCATGACTTGCGAAGTTGTCGCTGCTTCTGTCGCATCCCCGTACCCTGGCTGTCCCCCCTTCAACTCATCCTCGCTGACGTCTGTGTCCATGACATGCGCTTATCAGTCAGTTTGTGTTATGCACCTATCCACCTATCTTCCTACTCTTGACTGCCTGCCTACCTATCCATCTATCCATCTCCTATCTACTGTCTTTCTACTTCTAGCTGGGCACACAGCCTCAAAACGCATAGTGGAACATTTGTACTCCCGGCACAGAACACAGAACATTGCAGGAAGTTCATTTGAACGTGTGCAAGGAGCCAAGGCTGTTGCTTGCAGGGAGCGCAGGGAGCTAATGCAAAACAGGGCCGCCTCATGGGCTCTAAGTGGAGGGTTTTGGAGGGATTCTCTTTGCATGTGGAGGGCGATTGTTGATTATGTTGATTCCACAGTTGGAAGGCTTGTCTTCTCTCGCGTTGTGCTCGAGTGTCACAGCTGCTCCCTTCCACTCTGCTTAAATGCATTCCTTGGATGTGAAGGCTTGCCTTATTCCTCAGTGTCTATGTCTGGAGTTTGTGCAGGATCTGCCTTGCCAGATGTCGCAATGCAGGGATCCAGCCAAGAAATATCCAGCATGCACGAAGCAGCCGCAGAGGAGGAGATGCTTGAAGTTCGGTCCTGCTGGCCGCAACTTATTTCCCGGCCCCTTTGGGTGCCAGCTCCCACGGTTGTCTCATTCCTAGAAGAGGGCTTCTTAGAGCATTGCCACTGGGCCCAGCAGCCACAGCACTACTGGCTGGCAGAGTTCTCATTTGGGGTCCCTGGTGTGGACTCCGTGGACCACCCCGGAGCTCTTGAATGGCAAGCCATCTTGAGAGAACTTCTGCAGCGGCATCTGGCGTGCAGGACGTACTTCAAAGAACGGGCATGTTCTTCAGGCTTCCAGGCTTCTTACAAGATGGAGCCCATGTTTTGTTTAGCCAGCTCTGAGCAGGGTTTCCCAGAGTCCGAGATGCGAGAACCTGTGGGGCCTTTAGGCGATCCACCGGTGAGGATTAGTATCCGAGTTCTTGCTTCCAAGCTGATCGTCGGGCTTGTTGCGCACCCGGTTCTGCTGGATACCTGGTCCATAGAAGCTCTGCTTCACGAGCTCTGCTCCCTGCTCAAGCAGTCGCTTGACAAGAGCGTGCGTCTTCCAACTGTGAACCTCGATAGGGCAGACTTTGCTGAATGGCAAAGACGTGCAGCCTCTTCAGGTCTTTGGAGTTCTGCCATAATGCGGAGGGTTGATAGGTTACGTGGTTTTGTCCTTCCGAGGGACGAGCCAAGGCTGTGCACATCTGCAATGAGTGGGTACGCTGCGGAACATGTTCGAATAGACCCTGATGCCATGAAGTCGTTAGCGGGCACAGCCACATCATGGCACGTGACCCCGTTGGAGGTTGTATTGGCCATGTTCATGCTCCAGCTTCGCAGCTGGCGACAGCGACTTGTCTTTGGTGTACCGCATTCTTGCAGACTTAGCCTGGAGATCGTGGGCTGCTGCACTAACATGCTGCTGGTCTGCTTGGGCATGCCTGTTGAGATTGCATTGTTCCAGGCAGTTCAGGAGGTGCATGCAGAGCTGCAGTCCGCCAGGCGCGACGGTGCTGCCCCAATGAAAGAGATTGCCGGGCTGTTACAACGCGAGGGGGTCGATCGAGGGGGATCGCGAGAGGTTCTGTACGACGTTTTCTACGACTGGCGACACCGGCCTCATCTCGAAGGAACGCAAGCTTTCGGGTTGGATGCCGCGGTCCAGACTGCTTGTGGCCCTAAGTTCAAAAGCAGCTTTGCAGACCTGGAGCTTCATCTTCTCTCAGGCGACGCTGCTGACATAACTTTCGTTTATCATCCGGAGCTTATCGGCGACGGCGTGGCAAAGCACCTGATACGACGCTTGAATGCTTCTATGCGATGCGGCAGTGATGTTGAGGCTGTGGAGAGAGGCATGTCGACTGACACATGCTTTCCGGACTCTCCGGCGGTCGACGAGGCCAAGACCCTGGATGGGCTCCCGGCAGGGAGCAATACCTTGGCTGAGATGCGAGCAGCAGTGGCAGCAGCGCTTCCACAAGAAGATGCGGTTTCGGATGACCTTCCTTTGGAGAGCCTCGGTTTGGACTCCGTATCGACGGCCTTTTTGCAGGGACGCCTGTCAGAACTTTTTGGGCTCGTCCTGCCAGTTTGGCTTCTTCCCCAAGCTACCACCGCGCAGTTGTCTTTGGCAGCTGGACTTCGGCCCAAAGAAGGCCCTGCCCACAAGACGCGGACAACGAAGACGTCGAGCGGTCCAGGCGGTCCGATCGGTCCGAGCGATCCGAGCGATCCGAGCGGTTCGAGCAGTTGTAGGCAGAAGTTTCAGAGGTTCCATGCCCGGTTGGCGGTAGACGCGGACTGTCAAGCCTTGGCCAGGCTCTGGAATGCACATCATCATCTGCTGGAGATGGTGCCCCAAACTACTTGGGTTTTGCTGACCGGTCCCCCAGCGTGGGTGGCAACTTCTGCTCTTCTGCTTGGTCTTGTGAGATCGGACTGGAGCCTGGCAAGCTTGCAGCATGACATTGGCCTGAGGGCTGCGGCAGGGTATGCTTTTCTGGTCATGCTCCAGCATTTCTTGCACTGGCTACTGGCAAGATGCATTCTGGCCTACGACGTGCATGTGGGTGAGTTGTCTCCACGAGGATGGGAGAAATCGACTCTGCATCCTGCGGCTGTTCTTGTAGTAGAGCGTCCCAGGCTTTGCCATGCCACAGCGGGTGCCGACCAGAGCGGCGTGCTTGGCGTGGCGTGTGTGCGGGTAAGCATCAGCCGCAACAATCCAAAAACGTCAGGAGTAGGCTGTTGTCGGAAGCGAGGACGAGCAGTCAGAGTCGCGTCCTTGTGGCACGCTGCCGTGATCCCATCAGCACGGAACCAGGGAGCGGCCAAGACTTTGATTGACTTTGCTGAAACCTGGGCGATGGAAGTCGGGGCTGCAAGGCTGGAGGCGGTCTGCCTCAACCCGGCTGCCAAAGCGGCTTGTTGGAACATGGGCCTCGACCTCTGGAACCCCCGCATTGCGTGCTGGCCTTTGGCGCCTGCGTTCTTTTACAAGGACTTGGCAGACGACAAGAGGGCACACTTTCCAAAAGAAACAAAAAGGGTGGGCAAGGCACTTTCCAGGGCATGCAGGTGCTCCATTCTGTGGTGCTGCATGTTGTGGCGTTGTTGGGCTTGCTGAGGATCAGGCTTTGCTCACAGGTGAAGAAGGCCGAAGTAAACGTAGCACGCCGTAGCACGCCGCAGCACGCCGTAGCACGCCGTAGCACGCCGAGAAATTCGCAGACTCCTTGACTTGACTAAGGCTGGCCGGTGGTCTGGCAAGCTGAAGTTTGGGTCCTCGACTCGGCATCCATGCTGGGGACACTGACGGCTGGTGGCTTAACTTGCATCTGCCGAGGCCCGACTCATTGTTGCAATCCTTAGTCCAAGCTTCGCAGACGGCACCTCAGAGACATGAGGCGTTAATGTGCTTGGTCATGTACCATGGACCGAGGATCCGCGTCGCAAGGTCCACGGCATCGCAGATAACGAAGACTTCCTGGGCTTTTGCCAAGCTCCGCTCAAGCCTTGATACTTGCGCTAGCCAAGTGCCCACATGTGGTCTGTGTGGTGCCCGGGTTCCTCATACAGTAGTAGTCTAGGACCTGTGGAAGAAATGCTTTTCTTCGCGAAAGCAACTTGACCTGAACGCATATTCAAAGCTTGATCGGCTGAAGCTTGGCTCTCTGTTTATGAACGAGGTGCCACTGACAGCAGACCAACCGTGATCCCAGCAAGCAAGCCCATGACCAGTTGAACTGCTGGCGTTTAAAGAGCCACGACAACCCGCAAGCACCAATGCCACAGTATGCTAGAAGCTTGTGGTTGTTGTGTGCTAGCATGTGGAGCAGATGGAGATCAGCCTACTGGTGGAAAGCAGCGGCAGCTACTATGATAGCTCCCAAAGCCACGAGAACAGCGTGGACGTCGTTCGAGCCGGCGAAGCCCTGGCGGCAGTGTCCTGGCAGAACAGTGCGAGTGTTGCACAGCCCCCCCCCCGCGGCCCCCCGTTTATGCTGCGGTTCAGGGGCCCTCGTCCGGGCCTGTTCTCTGTTGTGTAAGTATCAGACTGCAACTCGACGTGACACTGACGGCCTTACTATTTCCATTTATTCTCGCGTTTTTTTCTGCAGATGACTCTTGTTATTTGAAGGTTCCCCTTGCCATGATGAATTTCAATATTGCAATCACCGTTGATCACTACGACGTGCCGCTGCATCTCTTTATTGCTTTTTCAGGTTCGTAAGCTTATTCTCACAAGTATTGCTCTTATTACTCAGATAAATATGACACTTATCATTACACATATTACTCCTGTGCTTACTAGTCGCACAAATAGTGCCTGCTGATCTTCTTACTTGTACTCATGTAGAAAGAATCATTGCAACTAGCATTCGCTTATTATAGTTTTCATTTTCGCTGTGGCTGTTGTTGCTGTTATTGGTGCTGTTACGATGTCTATTCCTATTACTATTCTATTGCTCTTATTCTGACTTCTGCTCTTGCCATTCCCCTTACCGTTCGTACTTGTCGGCTGATGATTACTATTCCTATAACTGTTATTATATCAAGTATTATTGCCGTGATAACGCTTCTGATTTTTCGAGTTCGTGTGAGTTTTATTCTCTGAGCATTCGGGCTCAAATGAGCTTTATTCTTCTAACTATGTAATTCATAATCTTAGGGGGGTGTGCTGTGTCCGGGCTGCGGGAGAAATTGCTACCCGGGGGGGGGGGTTGCGTGGTGGACCCAAACCGGACAAACAAACCATCGCCCTTAATAGAGAGCTCTCCGATTTTATGGAAATGAAGGCGCGGGCCACGTGGACTGTTTTGGGCAGGCCGGCAAAAGGGTCAATGTCTTCGAGCGAGCTGGCTTGAGACCAGCTTAGCTTCTCAGGACCAAAAGCTCCCCACTAAACACCCCTCCATACATCTGACAATGCCCTGAATAGCTTGCCGAGAGGATGGCATGTTCATTGGCACTCCAAGGTCTATACGTCGGTGGCCGTGCTGTGTGTGCTTACGATGATCACAAGGCAGAAGCGGCCCATATCTAACAAAACCATGTATATGTTGTCGCGATTGCACTGGCAGGGCGCTTGCCGCGAGATTCTTTGGGCTTCCTTTCAACGCACGCCATGTGTTTTTCTTGGTGCTGCTGTTCTCTGCCCAGATATTCGAGCCGCATGAGGCAGATGACAGCGTTGACTTACCATGCTTATGCGCCCACTTGAGGCTGCTTCTTTTCATTGTTCGGATCGTGAGCGACATTTGGGAACAAGGTGGGCGGTGCTTGCAATCGGGAACGCGCATCTTCCGGGGTTCGAGCACTCTGCTCCCCTTTCATGCTCGGGCATGGTTGGCTTGTGCCTAAGGTGATGGGAGGCCGGTTCGTGATGCAGTTGCGCAGCTCGGCTTTCAGCTGAGTCACTTGACTCATTTTGCAGGCTCGTTGCGGCCGGGTCGGGGAGGTGGATGTACAACCTGCTCTCGACAGGCTGTTTCTGTTTCTATTTTTATCCTCTCTGCTGTGAAGGTGGAGAAAACCGCTACAGTCTTTGAGCTTGACAGCCGCAGGCCCTGTCATTGTTTTCCTCACCATCTTCCTCGTGCTCCTCTATCACCTCACCTGCGTTCTGCATTCCATGAACTTGGCCAAAGAAAGCCTCGAGGTGGAACGAGATTTTCAAAAAAAAACATGATGCGTTTGTGTGTCATCTATCTGTGCAGTTTATGCGCTTGTTCTCTTCGAGTGCGAGAGGAGGCCTATTGCAGATCTGTGGCGGTGGGCCCTGGATCCATGGAGCGATCCAGCTTTCCAGAGGAGATGGTCAGTCGGAATGTTTGTGGCAGGCGCCGGTGTTTTTCTTTTTGTTGCGGGCAGGGGCAGGGGGGATGGGGGTGGGGTGGGCATTTCCTTCTTAAGCACACCTCAATTTTCTCTATACGGTTGACTTTGGAAACCTCGAATACCCCATATTTTATTACGTATTGTATATAACTTGTTTGCAATAGAAAGCCTTTGGTGCCACCATGTTTTGCTACGAAGCCTCTAGCTCCTCCATATTTCTGCTGGAAAATGTCTACGCTCGGTACTTCCTTTGTTTCTTCAAAACTATTAGCTAGCAGCTTCTATTGCCTCTGGATGCTAAGAGGAGAACCTCAATTTCCTCCTGAGTAAACCAAGCCACCAAGCCAAGCAACGTTAAAAACAGCTACGAACACCTACCCCCCCCCCCCCCCCCCCCCCCCCCCCCCCCCCACCCCCGTCCGGAAAATAATTACCTGCGCACCAAGACAAAATCCCAGGAACAATGTTCACCCACCGGTCACGACTGGCAGGTGTAGAGGGAAGGCTTTCCTCAAGCACTTCGGTTGCTTTATGGTGTTCGCCGCGATCACCCTGTGGGTAACTTTTCTGCACTAGTGGCGATGCCAGATTTTGGAGGAGCACCTTTGTCAATGCCAGGTGCTCTTTGTGGTCGGTTACGCGCAGCGCTGAGCCATATGCGTGTCAAGTCGGCAGGCAAAGTGGCAAAGAACCTGTTTTCTCGGTCGCCGAGGTTGCTACGCTTCTCGTTCAGGAGGGTGGGAAGCAAGTGTGGTGTAGCGGGCGTAACGAGACTCATGCATCCGTGCTTCTTGGCATGTAAATGCTCAATGGCTTGCGTCCTGCCTTTTCATGCTGTTCCACCAGGAGTTGGGTTTGCACATGTGAGTGTTTGCGTATATTTATCAGGGGCTGCGGACACGGAGAATCTTTTCAGCATTCAGTGACTGTGAAGCGACTGTGAATCCTAGAACAGCCAAATGCCCGGCAGAGCCGGGCAGAATGACTGAGCCATGCCTGGGCTGCCCCAGCGGCCTGCCCCCAGCTTCGATGAAGGTGCGCATCTGTGATTTTGCATCTATCTGCGAAAGAGTTTGTGCTGAGTCCTGGGCCTAGTCATGGTATTTGTCCAGCCCCTACGTCATGTCAGTCACCTGGCAGGTTCCGACAGTGCAGACTTGAGCCCACTTTCATCCCGAAGCTTTTGGGAAAGGCCACCTGAATGCAGCCGATCTGAATGAGGGTGCATGCGCAGAAGACCGCTAAGAGGTCAGATCCGGAATCGAATTCTGCAGCCGCGTGGAGTTCAATCTGTTTTGTCTGTCGAGTTTCTGTCTTTACAACCTTGGCCTGCGCACCCTGGCAAATCATTTTCTCAGAGTCCAAGGAGAAGCCGCTCCTGAAATCAATCACTACTGCTGCAAGGGCGGCGCTTCGCTTCAGGCCTAAGTTTTCCGAGCCTTGTTTTCCGAGCTTGCTTTCAGCATGGACTGCGACATTTGCTCTGATTGCAGGCAAAAGGCCAATGCAAGTGAGAACTCGGGTGGTGCCTTCCCGCACTGAGCATGTCCGCCACATCAGTCGCAACTTCGTGAAGCTGCGCGTTTGCTCAACTGAGGGCATGAAGCACGGCAGATTCGCAGACACCCTTTCTTTGCCGATACATCAAGGGAGTTCCGAGAACAGAAGCTTGGTCACAAGTCAAGGAGAGGACTGGAGGCCAGTGCTAGAGTAACAGGGTCCGTACTGCAAAACTGTAAGCGTATGTAAGCAGATGCAAGTATATGTAAGTGTACCAGAGTGTCTGTAAGTCTACATATATACATAGATCTATCTGTCTATATTTATATATATATATATATATAGATATCACGTATGTAAGTAGATGTAGGTCGATGTAAGCAGCTGTAAGTAGATGTAAGTATCTGTGAGTATACGCAAGCACGGCAAGACGACGCAAAAACAAAACATACATGCCAGCATGTGTAAGTATGTTGCATGCAGCAGGCTGCGATAAGTTCACCGTCATGTGTGCTGAGGGTGGCGAAGGTGGTGAGACCATGCAATCTGGATGTGTTTATGCTTGGGAGCCCTGGAAATGCGCATCTGCTTTTGTGTGTGTGTGTGTTGCGATTGCCGACGGGTTGTGTTTTGTTTACGCAGGCCGATGCACTTTCTGATGCGCTCTTCGACCCGTTGCCAGTGATTTCTGCCAGCAAGGTCGGCAAAGCCATGCAGTTGTGAGCAGTGCTGAGCGAACAAGCGCAGCTGCAGTGCAGCTTGCACTGCAATGACGGCGCGGCCGAGGTCATCCTGCAGCCGGGCTGCCGCGTTCCCGACGAATTGCGCTGGCCATAAGTTTCTGCACATGTCGTGTCGAAGTGTGTCAGACATCAGAGTTGCTAGCTCCAGCGTCATCAGGAAAGGTCTTATTTTGGTCGTCGGTGGCGATCCACAGGATTTGCAGGCAGGCGCCAAGAGCGAACAAGTGCGGACAAGAAACATAGAGATGAGAGAGGTTTATATTGAATTTTTACTGAAGCCAAGAGCTCAGGTGCTGTACAAGCACACCATGCTCAGCTCTGACTTGCACGAGAGCTTCATCCCAGGGGTTGCTGGTCAGGCCGAACGTTGCATGGAAAGGCAAAACCCGATGCCAGAGCCGATGGGGCCTTTGCATCCGTAGCAGGATGTCGCTTTTGGTTTGGTGGCGCAGAGCCTGTTCTGCGTGCAGCAGCTGTCCCAGAAGAGTCCCCAGCACTGGGCTGTGGTCACGTTCAAGCTTGTGGCACACGGGGTGCACGGTGCAGGAAGCGGCCTTCCACCAGTGAACTCTGCTTGCTTCACGTGAGTGACCTGACCATCTTGTCGCAGAGGTCCGGCACAGTCGGTTTATATGCGATAATTCCTATGTCCATGATGCTGCAGGGTGTAGCCGGACAGTGCTTGCAATGTGAGGTATCCGGATGATTACCAGAAGCTGCATGTCCGTGCCGGAAAGATGACCTGCTCCCTTATCAGGGCATGGGTTCGAAAGCTGCTCGTAACAGTTTGGCGTACCGCCTGCCCTCGCGACTTCCATTTTTTGGCAACGAAGGTTCTACATGCGCTGTTATCCCAAGCTGTTCTGCAATGTCCACCAGGACAGTTCGGCTTGGTTTTTGCTTGATCATGTGCATCCGTCATGAGCGGTACATTTTGTTAAGGATGCCGGGTTTTGGAGGAGGGAGCGGGGGGGTTGTGCTCGAGAAGCGTGTAGGACTGAACGAAGACACAGCAGTCCTCTCATGATAAGATGCACAATGGCGTAACTTGTTTGGTCATTTCGAAGCTAGAATTCACATCCATGCAAGGGGGGCATGCTTGACTAGACTGCAGCTGAAGCGTTGCGATCCTCTCAAGCTCGGCCCCTCTGGAGAGCTCTCGCTCCTTTTTTTGTCTCTCTCTCTCTCTCTCCCTCGCTCTTTCTCTCCTTCTCTGCGGAATCTTTTCCAGCATGCAGGAGTTTATGGCCAACTTCGTCGATCTGATGCAAGTAAAAGTGTACGCGGCGGGGGACACCATGTGCGCTGAGGGTGATCCTGGCAACTCCGGCCACTTGCCATCCATGGACGCCATAATGCACCATAGTCGCTCAAGTGTTGGAGTGTGTTACACAGTGTTGGAGTGCTCCAAGCCCAGGCTTCTACCTGGACTCAGGCGTTCTGCGGTTCTGCCAAACCTTCTGGGGTCACACACGCCCGTGACATGGAAGGACGTGCGCTGGTCTGCCGGGGAAGCACCTCCATCATTAGACTGCTGCTTGCCTATTTGTTATTGGGAAGCACCAGGAAGGAAGCGCAGAACACGTGCTCGAGCGTCTAAGGTCTCGAGGACAGGACGGTGCTTGGAAGAGTTGGTGGGGGATGCTGGAGGCATTGGGAAGGGAAGGGGGCGCGTGAACCGAGTCCGAGTGCCTCGTAACTTGAGAGCATTTTGCAGACTTGCTTCAGGGGTGACAGTGTGTGCTTTGCCTCGTTTGAAAGTTATCCGCAGTCTGCGTTTCAACCTGTCCAAGGAGGTTGGTGCAACTTGCGTTGAGCAGACGCTCCGCAGCGCTTCTTCCAACAGTGTGTTCAAGATTATTCAAGCCCACAGCATCAAGATATTCAAGTTTGTCGTAGTTGTCTAAGGACTTGCACGGTGAAGGCAGGGGACTCAGTGTTCGTTCCAGCGGTTGAGTCGCGCTGTGATAGTTGAGTTGAAGGCTGAAACTGACTGTGTGGCATGGGTGCTGCAAATCCGAGACTCAGAGGCTGAGCAGAGTTTGTATGTTTCATGGGTTTATGGTGAACACGGTGAGTGTCGTTGTTCCAGGAACTCCGTGTCAAGTTCCCACAAGAGAGCTGCCTCTTCGACCGAATCTCCATAAGGTGGAGCACTCGGAGATACTCGGAGTATCTTGTATTCGATAAGACCGACTTCTTCCGCTACCTGAATCACTTGCAAATGCCTGTGTCATCCTGCGTGACCTTCTTGTTCATGTGTGTCGAGATGGGAGCGTCCATGATGCTGGCTCGAGTGGTTTAGATGTGTTTGTGCTAGGCCATTTGCCATCATGCCGTTAGGCAAGAAAGACGGCCCAAAGTCATGGCACTGCATTCCAGCAGCTCGCGTGTCGCTGGTTTGCGGTGCGCTCGCAGGCTGCTGCAGCTTGCAGGTTGTCAACTTTGTCAACTTCGTCCACCTCGTCAACCCTTTCCTGCAAGTCCACTCCAGCAGCACCGCGTTGCCTCGCACGTCTGCCAGGAGTAGAGGCTCCAGAGTTGGAATGCTCGCAGTTATGGAACCTCCGACGCGTAGTGCCCCCCCAGAGATAGCTGAGCCTCAGCGTGAGGATTCATCAGCTTGGGCAGAGTGTATCATCGAGGAGTGCGACGATGAGGGTTGTAGACGGATGGAGAACTGGGTTTTCCGCAAAGAGCACGCAACAGACTACATGGCCTTCCTGAAGGTCAGAAATGTGGAGCCACAAGGCTTCTTGCCGTACCATGGGCAGAGCGTCTACAACACAACAGTGCTCTGCAAAGAGCGTTCTGTGGACCTCTCCTTGAGCTGTGCAGAATGCGTGCGGCTGATAGTCGGTGGCCCTTATGGAGCACGTGGAGTGGCGGTGGCAGCATTCCCTGCTGAAGACTCTGTGCTCCCCTGCCTCAAGCTCTCAAAGAACTTGCCAATTGTGAAGCCAAAGTCGGGCGAGCGGTGGGATGGCAACCAAGAGAAACCCAGGCAGACCGCATTCTGCAATGTCCTCAGCTTGGGAATGTGAAACTTCAGCATGGCAGGACAGTCTCTGAGCTTCTGAGCGCCCATGAAGCGGTTCACGCCGTGATGGAGTTCTTTCGAACCTTTAATTCACAGCCAGAATCAAAGTCAAGGCTGCTTTGTACAAAGCAAAGTCTCCATTTAGATTTTCCAGCGAGTGACAGTTTGAGGCGAGGTCCTACCAACAGTACTCCTTGAATCATGACTCGCTTCTCATGGGCGGGCGCCAGACCCACAGGTCTTGTCCTTGGCAGATGCTCAAACCCGACAGCCTTGGTCAGGGACGGCCCTTTGAGTGGTATGTGTAGGCACAGCACCAGAGGTGCGAGCGTCGGAGCGCATCAGTCTCTCGAATCTCACCCGACTAAACAAGAGCAGAAGATAGCAGAAGGAGCGCGCAAGCTGTAGGCGGTATCCAGCGGAAGACACGCGCCGCGCAGGCACCTGCAA